GACACAACATCTTTTTTTTTTTTTTGTATGTGGTGCTGAGGATCGAACCCAGGCTGCACGCATGCTAGGTGAGCGTGCTACCGCTTGAGCCACATCCCCAGCCCATTGTTTTTTTTTTATTTAAAAAAAAAATTTTTTTTAGTTGTCAGTGGATCTTTATTTATTTATATGTGGTATTGAGAATCAAACCCAGGGCCTCACACATGCTAGGCAAGTGCTCTATCACTGAGGCACAACCCCAGCCCTTGTTTTTTATTGTGAGACAGGGTCTTGGTAAGTTGCCCAGGCTGGCCTCAAACTAGCAATCCTCCTGCCTCAGCCTCCTAAGTTGCTGGCAAGTCCTTCCTAAACAAAGCACAGCTATTGTGTGGTTAGGATTTGGGTTGGGACTACTGTCATCCCAGGAGAGAGCAGCCCCAAGGCTGTGGCGACCCCATCCTGAATGGTCCAGAGGCAGAATGCATGGAGTGGCAGCCCAGTGATTCTGGAGCTGGGCATTCTCTTGCCTTCCTCTCCCCATGAAAGGGCTTGGGATGCTGCAGAGCTGTGACCACTGTGCTGTTGGTTACAGGGAGCTGCAGGCCCAGGAAGCCCTGCAGAATGGTCAGCCCGGCAGTGGGGACGGCGTGCCTGATCTGCAGCCTGGGGTCTTGGCCAGCCAGGCCATGATTGAAAAGATCCTGGGAGAGGACCCCCGGTGGCAAGGTAAGCCCTTGCTGCTGCCTTCCACTTGGGACCTGCTTGGTTCATTTGTGTTTGTAAGGTGACATACAGGGTGAATTATACATATATGTAAATTTTTATAATGTGTTTCAGTCTGATTAGTTATCTTTATTAATATGCAGATTGCCCCAATTTTGGCCAGTGGGAGCTTGTTCAATTTCTCCTGACGTCTTTAACACAACACTTTGAACATTGGTATCTTCATTGCTTTCTGATGCTGTACCCCAGGCTCTTCTTACTCATGCTCTGCCTCAGACCTAGAATCCACATAGGATAAGGATTGAGAACGCAGGACTGGAGCTCCACCTCACCATTTTAAAGTGAGCAGTTCAGGGCTGGGCTGCAGCTCAGAGGCAGGGTGTTTGCCTAGCATGTGTGAGGCCCTTTCCATCCTCAGAGCCACAAAAAATAATTTAAAAAATAAAGTGGCATTTAGTGCACTCACAGTGTTGTGCCACTACCCTTTAGTTCCAGGATGTTCTCGTCACCTGGAGGTGCATGCCCATGAGCCTGCCCCCTCCAGCCCTGGCATCACCAGCCTGCACCTCTCTCTCCCAGGGTCTGCCTGTTCCAACATGTAATATGGGTAGTGAAGTTCCTTCATTTATTTTGGCACTGGAGATGGAACCCAGGAGCATGCTATCATGGTGCTACACTCTCAGCCCTTTTTTCTTTTCTTTTTTCTTTTTTTTTTAGTTGTAGGTGGACACAATACTTTTAATTAATCAATTTATTTTTATATGGTGCTGAGGATTGAACCCAGTGCCTCAGACGTTCTAGGCAAGCGCCCTACCACTGAGCCACAGCCTCAGTCTCCCTGCAGCCATTTTTATTTTATTTTGAGACAGGGTCTTGCCGCCATACCCACAGGCCAGCTGAGGCTGCCCTGAATTTGTGATCCTCTTGCCTCAGCCTCTGAGTAGTTGGGATGACAGGCATGCCTTGCTCCTGCTGGCAGCGGAGTCTCCTTGGGTTCTGACAGTCCTCCCCCTTGCACAGCCGAAGCTTCCTGTGCGTGGCTGATGCTCTGGAGCTGCAGTGCGGGTTCTCTTCCTCCACACGCATTTCCTCCCTGGAGGGGCAAGTGGCTCGCTGCCGTGAGTCCTGGGGTAAATCAGTAACCATATTGTGGAGGCTTTTCCTGATTCCCTCCCGACTCTGCCTCCTCCCTGTAGCTGCCCTCCCCCTGGACTTTGTGGGTTCAGCTCCCTCTCTACTTCAAGGGCAGTGCCGACAGGCTGTGGCCTCAGGGCACATTGAGGATATTGGGCAGGGAGCAGGGATACCTGCTCTGCATCCCAGAGACCCTCCTCTGTGTCCCAAAGGGATTTCTGCACGAGTCTGTCCCCAGGTCAGAGATGGATGCTGGAACTGAGCTCTGGGGGACAGGCTGTGGCCTGAAACCATGCCTGGGTCTGCTTGCCTGGTTCCTTTTGTGTTCTGCTGTCAGCTGCCCTGTGGGCAGAACCCTGACTCCAGCTCCAAGTGGACACCTAGTCTAGTCCCTTGGGCGGAAGGTGATGGGCCCCACATGGCTGTTGGATAGGCTGGACTCCAGCGGGAGAGACTCAGGCTAAGCAGGAGGAAGGAGAGAGAGGAGGTGGCTTCCAGAAACCTTCACCCAGCACTTACTGCTTTTAAATGACTCCTGGTTTTTTTTCTTCCTTTGAGATAAAATTTGAATGCCATAAACTCAATTGTTTTTTTTTTTTTAAGTACATGTTATTTCTTAGAGCAGTTTTAGGTCCACATTTTCCCTGTGCTCCCTGCCCAACTGCCGGCCGCAGAGTGGATTGCCTCCTACGGCTGCCATACCCACAGGCCAGCACGTCCTGGCACCTGAGCTGGGTTCGTGTTAGGGCTAACAGCAGCATTTCAAAGGGCCTGCATCAGTTGTTCTTAGCACATTCCCATGACCATCACTTCTGTCCGCTTTGAACATTCCCCTCACTCGGAACCCTGGGCCTGCTACAGACCCTCCTGCCTTCCCTAGCTGGGGCAGCCGGTCATGTGTCTGCCTCTGCGTTTCCCTGTTCTGTGCACCTTCATGCGTGGGGTCTCAGTGTGGCCCCACAGCTGGCTTCTCCCCCTCCGTGTCCTTGGACATTCTCCTTGCATGGGTGTCGGTGTCTGGCTCCTTGTGGCTGAGCGATGTTCCGTCACGTGGATGGACACATGGGCCATTTGGCTACCTTGCTGTTGTGCCCGTGTTGCTGTGAGCACGTGGGGCCAGGGATCTGTGCGTCTGTGTTTCAGACACCAACTTTGTGCTGGGCAGCTACAAGACTGAGCAGTGCCCTAAGCCACCACGCCTGTGCCGCCAGGGCTATGCCTGCCCACACTACCACAACAGCAGGGACCGCCGGCGGAACCCCAGGAGGTTCCAGTACAGGTGAGCCAGGCCAGGCCCAGGGACGCTGGCCTGTTTTGCAGGTGTCGCACCCGTTGGGGCCCTTCAGGTGCACGTGCATCCTGTGTCAAGCCCAGCTGCTCCCAGTCTCTGGGCCCCTCGCCACCCTGGGCAGGTACAGGGGCATGTGGCCGCTCCTCTGTGTCCCTGCTGTCACCTGTTGCTTTGTGGGGGGTGGGTTGCCTCCTCACTGCTCCCACTCTGGGAGTGCCTGCAGTGGGGGTGCGTGTAGCAGCTTCAGCCCTTAGGAGAGGAAGGTGTCTTGAAGTGGGGCTTGTTGGAGGCAGGATGGAGGCCCAGGAGGTGGGTTCTGCCTCAGGGCTGGCAGTCAGAGCGCTGGGTCCTTGAGGCTGGCCTAGCGCTCCCCTGCCCTGGCCTGCCTGTGAGCTCGGGTCCTACCTGGACCTGGGCACCAGGTGGCCCTGCTGTCTTTCCAGGCCACCTGGACCTGGGCATCGGGCAGCCCTGCTGTCTTTCCAGGCCAGGCTGCCTTCTTCCAGCCCCCTCCCAGTGCCTTCCCCACCCCTGGCCCCACGGGCATCTGGGCTGCTGAACCTTCCTGGGCCTGCCTCCAGCCCCATTGCCCATGTTCAGCCTCTTTCTGCAGAGTGCCCTCTGGTGATAGTCGGTGCCCCTGCATGCCCAGGAGAGAGAGGGGGTTGGCTTATGGTTCGTTGCTCTTCCCCAGTAGCTCAGAGAGGGACTTGAACATAGAGCCACAGAGCGGCCATCCAAAGCTCTGGCCGCCTGCTCTCCTGAGAAACTGTGCATCCCCTCGTGGGAGGGGTGGAAATCATGAAAGGAAAAAGGAAAGGTCTCGGGTGGGAGTTTTCCATTAAGTCCAAGTAAGTAGCAGTGAGGTGTGCTGACCAGAGGGTGCTCCAGGGGGCGAGGCCCTGGTACCTTAGCTGTTTGCTTAGGATTTTCAAGTGGAGGGATCAAAATTCTCAAGACTCGGGGGCTGGGGTTGTAGCTCATGGCAGAGCACTTGCCCAGCATGTGTGAGGCACTGGGTTTGATCCTCAGCACCTCATATAAATAAATAAAATAAAGGTCTATCAACAACTAGAAAAAAAAAATATATATATATATATATATAAAATTCTGAGAGTCCACTCTCGAGCAGCGGCATGAGCTGGCCCAGCAACTTCCTGGGCCTTTCATGCTGGCTTGGTGGGATTCCGTGGGGAGTGGACAGGCTCCCGTCCTCCTTACTGGCTTCAGGTTGGTACTTGTCCTGATTTCCTCTGTCCCAAAGCAGGGCAGAAGCATTGAAGGGACACTCTGCCCTCCGCCCAGGAGACGTGTCCTCCAGTGACTGCCCTTGTCTCCAGGTCCACACCCTGCCCCAGTGTCAAGCATGGGGACGAGTGGGGGGAGCCCTCACGGTGCGATGGTGGGGACAGCTGCCAGTACTGCCATTCCCGCACGGAGCAACAGTTCCACCCGGAGGTAGGTGCCAGGGCAGGGCCTACCCTCTAGCCAGGGTCATCCATGGCCTGGGAAGGGAGAGGTGGGGCGACTCCCCTCTGGCTGCCTCTGGGGTCCCTGAGACTACCCTTGGGTTTGTGACTTACTGGAAGGGCCCAAGACTCAGAGAGCCTGTTGGTCCACAGTATGCTTTTTAAGAACACGGATTAAGGGGCTGGGGCTGTAGCTCAGTGGTAGAGCGCCCGCCTTGCACGTGTGAGGCATGGGGTTTGATCCTCAGCACCACATAAAAATAAATAAAGATGTTAAAAAAAAAGAACATAAATTAAAATCAGTCAAGAAAGATCCACAGGGCCCACAGGCCCACGGCTGCACCCTGAATCCTGGGTGAGTGACCTGCCCAGCTCGGCCCATCCCCAGGGATGTGGAGGTCACCTAAGTGGGCAGGACATGGCCTTTGGAATCCCTCAGGGGTGTTTGGCCCTGGCCTGCTGATTCACCCTTGCTGCCCAGTTGCCGAGCAGAGCACTCTTGCGTCTGTGTTAAGAAGAACCCTTCAGGGCCCTAAAACTGGGGGTGCAGGCAGGCTGGGGAACAAAAGGGCAATGGGTGGGCATTGCCAGTCCCTTTCCTTCCCTGAGCAGCAGCATAGGACCCTGTGTTGCCCCGAGCCCTGAGGGTGAGACTTGGCTGAGCAAGGTGGCCGTGGGTCTGGAGTGGAAACACCTACTGCCTTCCAGGAACTGAGCTTGGGTCCCTCACAGGACACATCAAGTGCAGTGCCATCTGCCTGAGATTTAGCAGACAGGGTCACAGGAAAGGCCTTGCAGGCACACACCCCTGTGAAAGCTCTCAAGGAGGAGGGGCTTCAGGACCAAGGATGTCAGCTTCTGTCACTAGAGAGGAAAGGTTTATTCTGTCAGCTTTGGAGGTGTAGCCTAATCGGGGCCCAGTAGTGGGCAGCGTGCCAACGGGAGCCATGGCCAAGCAAAACCACTCACCCAGAGGCCAAGTGCCAAGTGGGGGGAGCTGAGGACCTCCCACCAGACCCCGCCCCAGGTTCTACTTCCTGCCAGCAGCACCTCTCTGGGGACCACACCTTCTAACATGCGGCCTTGGGGAAATTCCAGATCTAAAACAGCTGGCATCCACACCTGCCCTGGGCGTCGTCGTGGTGTGATCTGGAGTCTCCTTTGTGCCATGATGGTGTCAGCTCTGGTCTCACGGAAGCCCAGATCTAGTCCAGCCTCAATGCTTTGTTTTCTAGATCTACAAATCTACCAAATGCAACGACATGCGCCAGACCGGCTATTGCCCACGGGGTCCTTTCTGCGCTTTTGCACACGTTGACAGTGAGTACACAGCTGAGGACAGCTGGGGCTGCACACGCACGTGCCAAGGCTCCCTGGGCCTTGCTGGAGTTTCAGGCCTTCCAGAGCAAGCTCGAGGCCTGCAGAAGCAAAGCGGGCCTCAGCGCTGGGTCGGGGGCTGGGGGCATGTGGAGGCACCCACTCAGGTTCCCAGGGTGGAAGCCAGTCAGCACTGTGTGAGCCCAGCACCCTGTCTTCTGCACTGCTGCTGGTGGGCACTATGAGAAGCCCAGGAGGTTCCCCGTCTCCAGGCCTGCTGGGCCCCCAGCTGCCTCCTGGGGAGCCAGGTCCTTCTACCACGCACTGCTGTTCACCGCTCCCCTGCACCTTGCCCTGAGCCTACTGTGCTGCTGGGGCTCAGTGGCTGTGTCCTTGTGGAGAGGGTGTCTGTCCACCCCAACCTCAGGAGACCCTGGGCTTGGCAGCTCTTCCTGTTCACTCTTGTGTGTTGTTTTCTGTGGTACTCAGGGTTGAACCCAGGCCTCCAGCATGCTAGGCAAGTGCTTTGTCACAGAGCTACGTCTCCAGCTCGCCTGGTTTAGTTTTTCTAAAGATTTAGTGACACTTAAGGTGACTGGCATAAGGTGGGGCAGCAACTCTGCGCAGGAGCCCAGTTGTGTCTGTGTCTCTACGTTTCTGAGCTTCACCCAGGCACCTGCCACTGAGCTCCTTCCACCCCTGTTCCCACCTGTTCCTTTGGTGTTAGCATCGTTAAAGGCCTGAGGCCCGAGGGCAGGGCCTGTTGCTGTCTTGCTGTCCATCCTATAGGAGGATGGTTGCTACTGACCAGTGTGCATTAAGCCTTACCTCACGGGAGCCCATCACCCCATGTGTGTGGAGTGTGCAGCCAGCAGCTCCTCAGTGCCCGCTGCTCCTCTTTCTTGGCAGAGACCCTTGGGACCGCAAGCGGCTGGGGCTGCCGCGATCTCAACTCCACCCACAGCACCTTGGCCCACAGCGGCCAGCCTGGAAATGTAAGTGGACGGCACTGGGAGAAGGCCTCATGTCGTTGGGTGCAATTGAACTGTTGGGGACAGAGATGGACGTGATATCTGGGCCATGTGGCTGAAAGCCCAGGGAGTTGGTGGCTTCTCCTGCCCACATGCTCGCCTGGGCTGGCAGGGCAAGCCACCTGGCTGTGGCTGTCCTTAGCAGGCCCACCCTCTCTGGTCTCTGCGTAGCCCCATGGGTGCCATCAGGAGCCTGGGTGGGGGGAGATCTTTAGCAAACTGTGGTCTGGGGTGGCATCTCGCCCCCATCACCTCAGTGTCCTGGGTGTTGTATGAGGGGGGTCTTCTACCTAGAGAGAAACTGCTGCAGTCATTGGAGGACAGACCCCATGGTGGCCACCTGCAGTCAGTACAGGATTAAAACCCAGTCTCATAAATAGAGCAGAAAGGCCTGGGAGTGGCTCAGCAGTAGGGCTCTTGCCTAGCATGCATGAAGCTCTGGGTTCAGTTCTTAGCACCAAGAAAAAACAGTGAAGATGAGCCGGGTACAGCTCAGATAAAGGCTGGCCTAGCCCGTGGAGGGCCTGGGTTCCGTCCCCAGCACTGCATTAAAAAAAATAGAGCAAAACCTGCCGCTGGCTTCCGAGACCTGCTGGGCTGTGGGAACCCCCCAGCTCGCTCAGTGACGCTGCTCTGCTTGGCACACATGAGTGGCTGGCTCTCCAGAGTGCGGAATGTGGGTGGACCCTGGGTGCCTGATCCTCTGCAAGCCCTGCGCCACACCCCATCCTAGCGTTGTCTACCCCGCAGGTACTACGACTTCCCCCTGAGCTGAGCTGCAGAGGGGTCTGTGGGTGAGCTTGGGGGTCACCCTCCATCACAGCCTCTAGTACCTCCTCCTGCACTGGGGTCTACAGGTCACGCACATTGAGGGAGGACCTGGGGCCCCTCCCTGGAGTGTAAGCACCCATCTTGGGCAGCAGGGATCCCTACCTGCAAGGAGGGTTGGAAGTCAGTGTCCCCTGCACAGTCTGTGCTTTGGGGCCTGGGCTGCTGCCAGCACCCCCATATGGCCTCACCTTGGCTAGGTCATGGTGCTGTGAAACCCTCCCCCCAGAGACAGTGGCCATGGCAGGCCTCTGCAGGGCTGCCTCAAATGCCCACCGCAGGTGCCCTCCGGAAGCACAGCTGGGCTGCTCGTGGTCAACACCTACCCTCCTGTGTAGGGTCAGACCCAGCACCTCTTGCACCAGGCAGACCCCAAAGGTCTTGGGATCCAGCACCACAGCATCTTTCTCCTTCTACCGCCAGTGCTGGGAATGGAACCGAGGGGCGCCGTATCCCTGAGCTCCACCCGCAACCCCTGTTCTTCATTTTGATGGGGCTGTAAACTCGGCCCTTTACGGCACAGCTCTGTGGCCTTGCCCTTGAAGTCCCTGGGGTTCCAGAGAGCCTTTCTGCCCCACCAGGCTTTGAGAGTTGGCATTTTCGAACCCCCAGTGAATCTTACGTTTGTGTCTATTTCAGTCCCTGCTCCCTCCCCGCCTTTCCCACACCAGGGCTTTTCTGTTGCAGCCAAAGCGCAGAGACCTGCTTACCGAAGGCAGCCAGAAAGCCGGGGAGCCCGACAGCAAGCAGGTACAGCCTGAGGGTGCACGCGGCAGTCAGGGTGTTTGCTCACTGGTTAATGTCTGTTCTAGAATTTTCTTCTTACCTGTCTCTATGTGGCCTTTGATTTGCTGTTTAAAAACATTTGTATGGTACCTTGGAAACACCACCACCAAACCCCCTGACATTTTCTGTTGGGGGAATCAGGTGCCATCAGAGCCCCTTGGTGTCAGTCAGCTGCAGCATGTGACAAAGTGACGGAGCACCACAGATGGGGCAGCCCATGCTACAGAACCTTAGGACTCTCAGTCCTGGAGGCTGGAGGCTGGAGGCTTGAGTCCCAGGGCAAGGCACGGGCTGGCTGCTTCCTGCTGAGCCCTCCTCCTGGGCTTGGGGCCACTGTCCATGTCCTCGCGCACTTGACCCTCTGTGTGTGCCTATGTCCTGATCCTCTCTCATTAGAACCCCAATACATGAGGATTAGGGCCCCCCATATGGCTTCACCTTACTCTAATAATGACCCTGTTAGCAGGTCACGTCCAGATTCCTGGGAGCTAGGACTCCTGAGTATGGAGCTGGGGTTCGCCATTCAGCCTCGCTCTGCCCTCACAGGCCTGGCTTGGTCCCTGGGAGCAGACCTGGGCCCCTCCTAGGGACTTTTCCGCCTGGGGCACCTGTCAGTGTGTCCCCTGAAGTTCCTCTCGCCCTCCTCGGGAGGCTGTGGTGGGCCTTGGTGTCCTCAGCCCCAGGCCTCTCCTGCACAGCTGACGTTGGTTCAGACCCAGTTGCTTGTGCTGAAGGGACGTTTCCTGACACCACCTCCTGAGGACTCAGGGACGTGGTCTCCTTTACTGTGAGATAGCAGTGGGCACTGTGAGGGGTTCTAGGGTAGCCTGGCCTCCGAGTTCTTCGTGGCCCAGGGCAGCTGGTGGCCGCTCCCTTTCCTGCCTGTGTGCCTTGGCTTGGTCCTCAGCGAGGCATGTGTTCCTCCTCGGCCCTGATGCCCTCTGGAGCAGCCGTGGGAGGTGCACGCTGGCCCGCTGCCTGCACCCCTGTGCAGTGGCTGGCCGGCACCCTCTTCCCACAGCTCAGATGGACCGCGAGCATTTTTTAGCCATCAGGTATTTTTCTTTTTCTTGGGGATACTGAGAGTTGAAGTTGGGTGCTTTAGCACTGAGCCACATCCCAGCACTTTTATTTTGAGACGTCTTGCTAAACCAGGCTGGCCTGGGACTCATGATCCTCTGCCTCGGCCTGGAGGACCTGGCTGGCAGGCATGGATCTCTGCGCCCCCTGACCCCTCCGGCCTTGTTCCACAAGTTCTGTGTATACTGCTGGGATTTGTTGTTGCATGTTCCTTCATGCACATGGGACACAATGTAACAGTTTGGCAGTACCACTCCCCAGCACCCACCCTCCCTCCTCCCTCCACCTCTTGGTCCCTTTCCTCTGCTGATATCCCTTTGATTTTCATAGGAGATTCACCCCCCACCTTTCTATTCCTTTTTCCTCTTTGGATATTTTTTTGAATGAAAGTAAATACCTTGATTCATTTGTTGGTTGGTTTTTTTTGTTTGTTTGTTTTTGCTCTTAGGGTTGAACCTAGGGTACTTTACCAGGAACCACATCCCCAGCCCTTTTTATTTCTTACTCTGAGACAGTATCTCAATAAATTGCTGAGGCTAGCCTTGAACTCACAATTCTCTAGCCTCAGCCTCCCAAGTTGCTGGGATGACAGGCATGTGCCACTGTGCCCGGCTATAGTGTTTTTTTTTTTTTTTAATGTATATGTTTTAGTTATAGATGGACAGAATACCTTTATTTAATTTATTTATTTTTATGTGGTGCTGAGGTTTGAACCCAGGGCTTCAGCATGCCAGGTGAGCACTCTACCACTGAGCCACAGCCACAGCCCCCAACCATGGTGTTTTTTATATGTCCATCATATATTCAGTGGACTCCAGTACAGCATAAATATAACTATATGTGCGCTGGGGAAACAAAATTCCCTGTGACTTTGCCGTGACTTGGGGCCTTTCTGGGAATTTGCTTCATAGCGGCGTCTGGAGCTCAGCACACAGTGTTGGATCTCTGAGGTCTCCTGTGTTTCATTACTTACCAGCTAAAGGGAAGCTCTGAACCACATTTTAAAAAATCAGCAGGACAGTTGAAAGTAAAATACGACTTAATTTAGTTATATTGTGATTTTTTAAAAAGCAGAGTAAAATCAAGGTGGCATTAAGAATCTGAAATGTGAAATGTTGCAGTAAATGCAGTCAACAGGCCCACACTCCTCTATCTCAGGTCCTGGGGGAGCCGGGCTGGGGGCAACTCTCACACCAGCCCCAGGCTTGGGCAGGAAGACCCTCAAGGTCACTGCTCTGGGTCCAGCTGCTGCTCTCTGGGCTGTGTCGTTGGAAGTGGGCAGGGCCCAGCGGCTCTTCCTGCTTGTTCGGGCCCAGCGGCCTGGCCTGGACAGCTATGTGGCATGGGTGCCCCTGTGCCATCTCTCACCTGCACCCAGAGTCCCACTCTGTGCCTGCCCGGAGCTGCCAGAGCAGGAGGGGGCTCCTCCAGGGGCCTCAGGCCAGCATGGCAGTCTCCAAGCTGTTGTGGGGCCTCTGGTCACAGAAAGGCTAGAGTGTCAATGGTCCCTAGGTCAGCCTCTGAGACTCTCAGGTGGACAGCGTGGACTGTGGCTCCCTGGACGCCTGTCCACACCGGCCCTGCCACGGCTAGGAAGGCGTTTTCCTCCCTGTGACCCCTGTCTCCTCTGTGTTTCATGCAGGTCCTGATGTCCTTGCCCCCTTCAGTTTCTGGGGCCTCAGCCATCTGTTTGGGTAGGGCTCAGGGGAGCTCTTTGTCCAGCCCACTCCCCAGTTGCCATCCCCCTTCCTGATACCTCCTTGCCTGGGCAGTGCCACCTGCAGCCTCAAAAACCCCTTGTCCATGGGCCTGTACTGTGGCCATGCTGGCATGCAGGATGCACAGAGCACAATGACCTGGTGTCACTGTGGAGTCGAGGTGTGACCACCCAGCAGTTGCGTCCACAGGGCCTCTGCTGACATTCCATGCAGGCTTCTGAGATACTGCCAGTGATGTGCCAGGACCCACTTGGGGACTCAGATTCGTATCCCAGAGGCTGTGGGGTCTGCACCTCTGTGGTGGGGGCTGAGCCTGCACGCCGTCTCCGCAGCCCTGGGAGGCAGCACGCTCGTCAGGCTTGCGACCCTCACAGACTCATTTCCTAGCTAACATGCAGGCTCTTCAGAGAGGCACCTCAAGTCACCGTCCAGCTCAGCCCCGGTGGGCATTGCTGCTCTGCAGCCCAACAGGACCCAGAAGTGAATGGAGAAGCTTCCATCCCTGGAGTTAAGAGTGGCTCCTCAGATGTGACCCCAGAAGCACCAGTGAGCACAGAGTGGTGTAGGTGTCATCAGAGTGGAAGAGCTTTTGTGCACAAAAGGACTGTCCACCAGAAAGCAACCCCAGGGGCAGGGCACATCCCCAGGTGTGGACTGGATGAGGGCCACAGGAAGCAGCTTCACAGCAACAGAAACAACAGCCTGAGTAACATGTCAGCCAAGGACCTGAGCAGATGTTTCCCCAGGAAAGACACTGGCCTGGAAGCATGTGGCAAGGTGCTCAGCCTCGTGGGGTCAGGGACTCAGGGGGACTGGGGGTGTGCAATGGTGCAGCCACTGGGAAATGGCACAGGGTCCTCAGATATTAAAGGTGGAGATGCACGAGCTGCAGTTCCCCATGAGCATGCACCCAGAAGAGCGAGAGCAGGGCTGGCATGGAATCCACACCCACGTCCACAGCAGCACTATCCACATGGACCAAGATGTGGAGATGACTCCAGCACCTGCTGGTGGATGAGTAAAATGTGGTCTGTCCTTACAGTGGAATATTACTCAGCCTTCAAAAGGAAGGAAATATGGATGAAGTTGAGAGACGGAATTAGCTTGGCCTGTCATAACAAAATACAACACACAGGTTGCTTTAGATGACAACGTTTATTTCCTTACTGCTCTGAAGTCCAAGATCCCGTCTCCATTGTGTGTGCATCTGAGGCCCTGCCTCTCTCATCAGGACAGTTGTGCAGGGGCGCCCCATATTCTCATCTCACCTAGCTACTCTTCACAGGCTAGTAGTTGCCTTGGGGTTGTCCACAGGAAATTTGGGTGGACACCTCAGTCTCAGAAGGACATCATGCTGTGTGAAATAAGTCAGCCTTGGAACCTGAGGTCTGCAGGCAGCTGTGCCCTGGGGGCAGGAAGAAGAGGGGAGGCGGGCCATGGGAACCCCAGTCAGGGTTTCGGGGGCGAGCTGCAGCTGGGCGGGGGTGTGCAGGGTGCTCAGCAGTGCAGTGACACCAACACAGGGTGCATGTGAAACAGGGTGGCAGATCTTGCACTGTGTGTATTGCACCACAAAAAAAAAAAAAAAACAGCAGATAAAGCTGATGTGAGGAGGAGGGATCCGTTGGCAGCTACTCCCTGGCCCCAGCCTGCTATTGAGTCCCGTTGAGGGGACCCTGCCCTTGACACTGCTGCTTTGGGAAGAGGACAGGTGTGGGTGTTCTTGTGGGTGGGGTGGTCTCCTGGCATCTCGCAGGCTTGGAGTCAGCAGGTGCTTCCCTGCTCCCAGCAGGCTCAGCAACATGGGCCTCTTGGGTCCCTCAAGTGGGGCAAGTGTTCTACCGCACAGCTACCCCCAGCCTTTGTGGTTTTTCTTTTACTTTTCTCTCTTTCTTACATAACGAGGGATTGAACCCAGTTGTACATAACCCCGAAGCCAATCCCCAGCCCTTTATGATTATTGTTATTTTGTAATTTCGAGACCAGGTCCTGCTAAGTTGCTGAGGCTGGCCTTGAACTTGTGATTCTCCTGCCTCAGCTTCCCAAGTCACTGGGATTACAGCTGGCCACTGCACCTAGCAGGCTTTTCTTAGCTAATAAAACCCCCTGTGATCTGAGCTGTTGCACCACCACCTGGTAACTTTTCCTGCTATTTTGAAGCAAAGTCCAGGCTGCATTGGGTTCTAACTGCAGAGGGTCAGTGTGACTGGCCCTGACGTGGCCAGGGTCTGTGGCCACTGTGGTGGACACAGCCTTCCACAGCCTTGCATTCTGCTTGGTCCTCATCATGGCATCTTGTCTTATGTGGAGTGTTCTCCGTGTGGCCAGGTGCCTGGTGGTGTGCTTTTTACCTTCTACCCATCTAATGGCTGTGGCTTGTCTGGGTCGCCCTTTCTCAGGGGAAGAGGTCACAGGATGGTGCACATGGCTCTCTAGTCATATCCTGAGGCATTGTCCTGCATGCATGCAGGTCCAGGCCATGAGAGTGGGGAGGGGCGGCCCCCCAGCCTGGCCTCCACTGCTTCTGCACCTGCTGGAGGGAGGTCCACCTGCAGGCTTCTTTTAAGCATCATTTCCTGCAGAGGAGTCAGCAGACATGCTCTGGGTGTGTTTGCTGCCCGCGGGGCACACTGGGGTACACAGTGCACAGCTGGAAGAGCCCACTCCTCACTTCTCACTCTGGCAAGAGGAGTGCACCGCGGCTGTCTGATGTCATGTGCGGCTCCTGCTCATGTTGTTTGTGTGTTTTTGAACAGAACCACCTCGCTGTGTTTGCAGTGGTTCACCCGCTGGCCCCCAGCGTAAGCTCCAGTGTGGCGTCCAGCCTGGCGTCCAGCGCTGGCTCAGGTAGCTCTTCCCCCACCGCTGTGCCCGCCCTCCCTGCCCGCGCCCTCCCGCCGGACCCCGCCGGCAGCACCGTGGAAGCGGTCCTAGGTAAGTGCAGACCTTCGCTCTTCTCTCCAGGCCCCTCACCCAGCACCTTGTCCACAGGCCACGGAGCCTCTCTGTAGAGGCCGCGTGTGCTCAGTCCCCAGCTCTGGGCCCCCAGCTCCCTGAGGCTGAGGTGCTGGGGGTGTGGGAGGAGCCCATCGCCTCAGCCCCAGCGGCCACCAAAGGGCCAGAGCAGATGGTGCCTTCCAGCCCTGGGCTGCTGCAGACTGCAGAGAAATGAGCACTGGCGTGTGGCTAGGAGGGCAGCTGAGGCGGGCAGTGCCAGTAGTAGGGAGGGGAGCCAGGACAAGGTCTGCAGCCAGCGCACAAGCTCCCAGCGCCTCAGCCCCAGCTTGGGGGAGGTCATGGCCAACTGAAGCACTGGGTTCTGGGGACTGATGGCTGATGTGGTGGAAGTGAATGGGTGAATGTCAGAGGCCCGACCCAGAGCCTGGGCACGGGGCGCAGAGCCAGAGGGTGAGCCGTTGCCCAGGGTCGGGGCCAGGGCTGATTGAATGGACCGTGGTGCATCCATGGAGAGTGACACTGGGATGCTCTGAGTCTCTGCTTCCCATGATGTCCAGTGCCCAACTGGCCCCAGCCTGTGTCTTTGTCCCAACAGTGAGGGACAGAGGGAAGGATGGTGATTGTGGTGATCTGAGTCCTCTGTCCGTGGTTGGCTCTGGCGCAGGCCCAGCCCAAGCTATGGTGGGGCATCTGGAACTTGCCAGAACCTCCTTTCCTATCAGGCTCATGGAGGGAGGAGGGCTTGGCACTGGGAGGACACCAACCCTTGAGCATGGGCCAGCACAGACCCGCTGGGGAAGCAGAGCTGGACCAGTTGTTTGCCTGTGTTGAGGTCCCACATGGATGCACAGGCTGGCCAGGTGGCCTGCTCTGAGATGTGTCTTACCCAGAGGGACAGCAGTCACTATGGCCGAAGCCTTTCAGTTACCACCCCCGTAAACACCAGCCCCGCTGTGGCTCCATTTGGTGGGAAGATCAGAGATGATGCCCCCATGGCAGCCAAGAGGGAACCTTCCAACTGCCACTCGGGTCACAGACCGTGGACCCCAGAGGCACGGTGGAGACGATCCTGTCTTCCATGGTGCCCACAGGGAAGCCTGCTGGCAAGTGTCCTGCTAAGCCCCCCGTCCTCGGGCCCACGCAGCTCTGCTGGGCACCTCAGTTTCTTGGAATCTGCACTGCCTCACAGAGGCTGGGCCTTCCCACCCTGCATTCACTTGGGGTAGGGTCTGACCCTTCCAAGGGTCCCTTTTCCATGTCACCAGGACGTCCTGTGGCCAGCACATCATCCCAGCAACCCTGGTAATCCTATGTGGACTCTGTTGTGGGTTGGCTTCATCTGCTGGAGAACCTTCTGGAATTCAGGACTCATCCCAGCCCCATGAAGCCACAGGCAGCGGTCCCTGCTGCTGAGTCTGGGCAGGGGGCAGAGGCTCCCAGGCCCAGCATCCTCAGCAGGTGGGATGCTCTGGAGTGGTTCCGGGAGGGCCTGCCACAATGTTGCCTTCTGTGAGGGCCCCAGCAGGCTGGCCCAGTGCCCTGTGGATTGCATAGCTCCAAGGCCAGGAATGGCTTCTGCCCCTGCTGGTCAGACCAAGGGTGTGGAACCCTGTATTCCTGGGCCCTCCATGCAACAGTAAGCTCCAGTCAGCGGGCATTCCTTAGAGCCGTGTTACCTCTGGTGGCAGCCGAGTGTTTTCTTCTGAGCAGAAGCAAACCCACCTGTGTTTACTTTTGACCCCCATCTTGGGGTCAAACATGTTGCTCTTGAACCATGAAGAAGTTCACATCATGGTTCATATGGAGTTGCCATGGTGCATGACCCGGGGCTTCCCTGAGCTGCACCCTCACTCTACATGTCCCCATCAGAAGTTGGGAGGTCAGCCATGAGGCAGGAGGTCAAAATCTGCAAGATGACAGAACACAACACAGGCTGAGGTCCCAGGAGGCTCTGGCTCCTGACACAGCCTTTCCCAGTCGTGGGAGCCAAGTAGTTCAAGAGGAGCAGTCTGCGTTGAGTGTTCCTGCTTCACACTCCCGAGACTCCTGAGACAGTGGGCTGTTCAGTGTGGGCAGTCAGGTCAAGAAAATTAGATTTCTTTGTCTAGAAGAGGATGCGGGGCACATGCATGTGGGGGTTCTTTTCCCCCACTTAAAAATGAGCCAAAAACCTATTGGCATAAGTGGCATGTTTCAGGGATTTTTAAAATAGATAAGCACAAATTCCATTTTAAAAATAAAGTCTATGATCCCCAGTGTAAAAGGAGTAATGGTAAAATTTGACCAAAACAGCAAATATTTGGGAAAATTAAATCCTCCCTCCCAGATGATGGAGGCCACATATGAGGCTGATCACCTGAGTAAAAAAATGGCACCAGGGTCCATGTACTTTCAAGGGGCAGAGAGGTGGCCCTACTGAGCACTTTGGATTGGCAGGTGTGTTTCTGGTCATTGGGTTCAGCCTCGGTCTGCTCCACCTCGTCACCCCTGTAGTGGCCTCAGGTTGGCACAGGGTCTCTGAATCACCACCCACAGGTAAGGAGGCAGATAGTGTTTCCTCAAGGCCCATCTTGACTCTGGCGCCTTTTTGGTGCTTGCTCTACAGTGAGCTTTTACTCCCCAGTGCCTCCTCCACTGTTCCTATGACCACCACCCCAGGTCTCAGTGCTGCTGCATCTTGACAAGAGCTAGTCTTGGAAGGTAGCCAATCCTCAGCTGTCTTGGCCCAGGAGAGGCTGCCGAGGACCCACTTCCCGGGGCCCAGGGCTCCCCCTGCCCAAAACTCGCAGCCCTGCTGCCTGAGACCGTTCCTGTGCTCGGTGGTACCGGTCACAGGAAGGGTTTGGGGACCAAGAGCGTGGGCTGGATGGCTTTTTCCCGTGGCGGTTTAATTCAAAGCACGTGGTGCGTTAAGGAAAGGTGAAAGGAGCGAGGAGCTATGGAGTGACTGCTGCTTCCAGATGGCCTGTCTGGGGTCTGGCGCTGGCCCTGCCGCCGGGTAGATTTCACTCTCCGCAAGAATAGGCCTCGGATCAGAACCGCGGAGCGCAGGCAGTGCACCGGGAGCGAGGAGCAAGGGCGGGCGGCCCGTGGGGTTCGCGCGGGCCAGGTGTATCCCGGGGCAGGCGCTGGGCTCCCAGGCCGCCGTGGCCTCCGCAGAACGGGGCGCGCCCCGCGAGCGAGCGCCCTGCTCGGGCGCCCGTTCACGCGCACCTGCTCGCCAGGTGCTGCGGAGCGAGCGGGGGCGGGCCGTCACGTGGGCGCGGGGTCGCTGTGGGGGCGGGGCCGTCACGTGGGCGCGGGGCGGGGCGCGGGCCGGGTTTGAATGGGCGGCGGCGGCGGCGGCGCGGGGCGACCGCGGACGGTGAGTCAGCATCGGCGGCGGACCTCGGGTGCCCGTCGTCTCCGCACCGTCAGGCTGCTGCTCCTCGTCTCCCCAGGTGCGCGTCCCCCCCTTCGCCACCGCGTGCCCGTCCCTCTCCCCGGCCACCATCCCCCCCGCGCGATTCCTCCTCCCGGGACGCGCTTTCCTTCCCAGGTGCGTCCCCTTCTCCATGGGCGTATCTCTCAGGTGCGCATCCCCACCCTGGTGCGCCTCGTAGGGTCCACGTTTCTGGACCAGGAGTGAGCCGCGAGGTCAGGGCCAGGTTTTCCTGGGGCTGCGCGACGAGGTACACACACGTGTCTCCACTTCGGAAGCCTGTCTCTGCTGGGATGCTTCTGTAGGGGCCTCGCCCCCGGGGCCCTGCCGCCCTCTCGGGACCAGCCTGCACCCCTTCTCCCAGGCATGCCTGACCTGCTGCGCGTTGCTCTGCACTGCAGCTCAGCTGCAGGTGAGCGCTTGCCTGGGGCTCCTTCATCCCCTAGTCGGAAATGCCTGCCGCCTGCGCTTAACCAGGATAGTGCTGGGAGCAACCTGGAGCTTCGGAGGTTCCCCCTTCTGCCTTTAGCACTGTGTGGTCTAAGTGGCTCGTCCCTGTTGTCCCTGCCCCTGGGGGCCCCGCAGTGCCTTGTGAATGCTGTGTCATCTCTGGAACAGCCGGTGCCAGAGCCATTACTCAGCAGCTTTCTGCTGACTTCTCCTTGCACCCAGGCGGCTTCTGGCGGTTTAGCAGGTTGGTTCTGGGTCAGGTGGCTCCCACAGGCTTCACAGGGCTTCTGCCATCAGGTTCACCTGGAGTTCCAGTGTCTTTAAAAGTGGGTCCTTAAGAATGTTCCATGTGGGTCTGACCTTGGGAGCAGAGGCAAGGCAGGAGTGGGACTGCTGAGGACGCTAGCCAAGTAGTGTCCTCCAAGCTGCTCTGAGCAGTTTCCAAGGAGCAGTGGAGGCCACGGATTGAACAGGCCCCCCAGGTTCCGTCCGCTGGTGACCCTTCCCTAAGCTAGACTGCAGCTGAGGGCTGTCCCAGTTTGGCTCTGCTGTTACCTGCTGAGAGCTGTGCCGCCTCTCCCTAGGGGCCCAGCACCCTCCTGCTGAGTCATGGAGGGGCCTGACCAATTCAATCATTCATGGGGAAGAAAGCCCCCATCCATTCCTTTGTGCCTTAGTTCATCAAAGTTTCTGGAGTTCTGTGGGGGTGGGGTGGGGTGTGTAAAGCATGGGGGTGGGCAACAGGACCTCCTTCACCTCATCCCAGGATTTCAGGTGCAGAAGCTACCACCAGGCTACCAGCATCTGGTGTATGAGAGGTGGGGGCAGGCAGGTGTGCTCTGTGAAGGATCGGGCACTTGTCCTCGGCCTGCCCACTCCAGCCTGTGCTGTTGTGGGCTGCATGCAGAAATGGAAGCAAGGGCATCCCATGCAGTTTAGGATGCTGAGCAGATCTAGGACTAGGGGGTTGTTCTTCCTAAGTAAAGCTGAGTTTGGTGCTGCCCTCAACAGGGAGCAGGGTGGAAAATCAAGGGAGGGGCCATGGAATGCCTGGACCAGCACACTAAGGGGCTTAGGCTCAGGCTCTGTTCTTTCTAGAAAATTGGGACTCTGGGATGTGATGGGTTTCACCACAGAAAGGTCATCCCGGAGCTGGGCGTGGTCATGCACGCCTGTGATCCCACTTAGGAGACTGATCTAGAAGGATCCCAAGTTTGAGGCCAGCCTGGGAAAGACCGTGTCTTGAAGTAAGAAGGGATGGAATGTAGTTCAGTGGTAAAGTGCTCCAGGGTTTGGTCCCCAGTACCAAAAACAAGTCAAGTCACCCTGTGGGTTGCAGGCTTGGGGCAGCTGCAGAGCCGGCCATGTGAAGTCTGGCCTGGCTGGTTTGGGTGGAGGGAGGAGTGCCTCAGGATTCCCACAGGGCTGGGCTGGTATAGCCCTTAGGACCTGCAGTGCACCCGCTCTCTGGAGACCCCTGAGGAGTCACGGCAGTGGTGCTGCAGAGCCCCCAGGCCTTACCTGGTAGGAGCCCCCACCCATGCTGGGGACTGTCCAGGGCGTTGGGGGTTAGGGCTAGAGAAGCCACTGTGTTGGGTGTGGACCAGGCTGCAGGAGAGGGTGGAAATGTGGAGGTGGGCCCTGGGGGTGAGGAAGCTCTGCAGAGGGGGTTGCTCTTGCCAGAGGTGGGCAGGAGGATTAGGCCCTGGTAGCAGTGTAAAGGGGCCACTGCACATGGCTGCAGGGCGGGAAGCAGTTGGGGGGCAGAAATGAACAGAGAGGCTCAGGGAAGACTGGGGTGGCCTGGTCGAGGAAGCACAGAAGGGTCTGTGGGGTTCAGCTGGTCCTGGTGTGAGCTCACAGCATGGGACAGAGGGAGATCCGTGGGTGGAGGGAGCGTTGGGACACTTGGGCTGGGGTCTGTGAAGGAGAACATAGTTGAGCAGTGTCACCAAGTAAAGGTTGGGTTGTGACCCCCAAAAAGACATGGCCAGTCCTAAGCCCCAGTGCCTGTGAGTGTGGCATAATTTAGAAATGGGGTTTTGCAGATGTCAGAGTTCAAGAAAAGGAACTAGAGGGGACCCTGACATGGTCACTAGCATCCTTAGAGGATATGTGGGTGCAGACATTCAGGAGAGGCTGGGGATGGAGCAGAGACTGAAGCTCTGGGGCCATAAGCCCAGGACTACCTGAGCCCTCAGGAGCTGAAGAAGTAGGAGGAGCCCTACCCCCAGACTTTGCCCACATCTTGACTTTGGACTGGCGGGCTCTGGACTGTGGGAGGTCATGTTCCTGTGGCTGGGAGCCCTGTATGTGGCCCTCTGCTCACCTGAGGCCCGGACACCAATAGCCCTTTTTCCCTGTAGAGCAGAAGGACCCCAGAAACACAGCTCAGAAGTGTGTCCACCATAGGGAAACATCCAGGAGGCAACAGACCTGTTGATCAGGGAGATGTGTGGTGCCCTGGAGCTGCCCCTGGCCAGTGCCCTCCATGCCCTACTCTGGCCTCTGCACTGGGTCTCTACTGTAGCCTCTGCAGGCAGGCTGTCTCAACACGCCTGTCTTTTGCTGTGGCCCTCAGGGCAGCAAGGTGGAAGCCCGGGCCGCATTGCCCCTCCTGCATCTTGCCCCTCCATCTCTGGATGAGACATTCGAAGTCCTGGACCTGTCCTGCCAGTGGCCTTCCCATGGGAGTGGCCGGGCCTTGGCTGCAGGCCAGCCTCTGCCTCCACTCACAAGGCCTCCCTGAGGGATGAGGTCCCTGATCACCATAGTTCTGGCTCATTGGCATTGTGGTAGGGCGGTGAGGACAGTTTTCACCCAGGTGACTGAGCTTTGCCTTGGTGCCCTGACAGTTCTCAAAGCAGAATCCAAGGGAACAGTTTCTTGCAGCACGGCTGCGTGTGAGCCAAGCCCTGTGCTCTGCTTATGGATGTAGGGACAGGTTCACAAATACAGGAGGGAACTTCTGGCCATGCTGGGTCCACCACAGGCCTCATGCAGCCACAGGCGAGTGTCGAGGCATAAGGTCTGTGTGCTGCTTGGACTTGGCAGCGTTTGGCCACCTCTTTGTGGGGCTCCTGGGTGCCAGGCGTCAAGTGAGGGGTGCTCTGTGGCTGGCTCATGTGGGCCTCATGGGGGCTGACCTGTGCCCACTGTACTGAGGGATGAGAAGTAGATACCAGCATGACAGGGGACAGTGAGCTGCCTCAGGGATAGACCCCAAGTCTCCCTGCCCCGAGCCCATGCCCAGTCTTGGGTGCAGCTGGGACTCCAGCAGCACCTGCTGGTGGTGGGGATGGCATCTCTTATGCTGTGAGTATTCTGTCCCTGCATTTTAGTTATTCCCACCCTTGCTTTGGGCTCACCTCCCCCATGGTTCTTGGGATGACCCTGTGCATAGAATAGGCATCTGCTGGCCCTTCTGGATGGACACGCCTCCCCAGGAATCCTGGCCACACTTGGGCTCATCCAGCTCTGTGTTGGATCCAGGCCCATTTGGGACCTGGGGTTGTGGTTGGTTGGTAGCCGCCTCTTGTCCTCTACCAGGCACTGTTTACTCTGGGTATAACGTGTGATGTCACTGTTGGACACACCCAGGGGACTTGATGACACCTGCACCAGGCCGCTGGGGGGGGGGGGGGCTGAGGTGATGATTTCACGAGCTGTGTGTTGCCCTGGTGGTGCCCACAGGCAGGTGTGATGAGGGTCCCCAGGTTGTCACCTCACTGTGGAGAAGAGGGTTGGAGGCCCTTCAGGGCAGGCAGTTAGGGGTGGCTTGTGGCTGCACAGAGTGGGATTCAGTGTTAGTGGGGACTGAGGGGTCCTGCAGCCAACAGGGGTACAGGTTGGGCCACACAGCTGAGGCCCCATAGGACTCCAGAATAAGCCAGGAGGAAGGTGCCCACGAGACCACTGTGTGCCCTGTTTCCTGCAGAGCTCTTCTGCGGACTTGGCTGTGACTGCTGGGACAGTGATGCTGCTCTGTGGGCGTGTCCTGGCGGCCCCCTCTGGTGGCAGCAAAGGCTGTCAGACCCCAGGGCCAGTCCTTCAGATGCACCCACTCGTGCTGCATGTGCTGCAGTCTTGGGAGTCAGATGTGGTCCCCCAGCCAGTGACCTGATCCAGCCACTGAGGCAACCGCTGGACCTTGGAGGAGGCCACAGCCCTGGAGGCAGGAAGGGAGGGGCTGAGCCCTGACATAGGGCAGGCTGTTTCTGGGGTCAGCGGTCCTGCATCAGGGCACTCCGTCCTGCAGGAGAGGGCCAGGCACCCTGCTAGTGTTGGTGCCTCTGTTCCATTAACAGGCAGGCCTCAGAGCATCAGAGGAGGACAGCTAACAACCTTGCCCCTGCCCGCTGGGTTGGTGGCAAGGGCAGCTTCTGCCCCTAGGACACGGGTCTGCCACAGTCCTGTGTAGGGTCCTGGCCACCGCGCAGCCATCAGCCTCAAGTTCCCCCTCCTGGAGATCCTCTCAGAGTTGAATCTTTACTTGGTCTGATTTGAGGCAGGATCGGGAGGGCAGGAGCTGGGTATGGGGGCTGGAGCGTCCTCATCCTGAGGGCCTGGGCTCTGGAGGAGAGCGTGAGCCCTGCTGGCCACTGGCGCCCAGCCCCCAGCAGCCCTTGGGCTCTGGGTCTTGCTCCAGGCCGGGCAGGGTGAATCCCTGCATTGGCCCAAAGGTTCTGTGAGTGACGTGGTCTGGTCTCACAGGTTCTGCCTTAGACCTGCGTCTCAGTGATGTCAACATCGCGTCTCTAGATAAAGACCTGGACGAGCAGGATCCCTGTGACCTTGGATTGTCAGGTGGGCCCACTGAGCTGCAGCTGCCCTTGCCACACCTGCAGAGTCCACCTGGCTTGGGGCCTCCTTACCCTTGGCGGGCCTGGGTGAGGGTGGGGTTTGCCACAGTCACAGCCTCCTACCAGGGCAGCACCTCCCTGGCGCTCATTTGGCCTCCTTTGTCAGGTCCCAGGCCGCTGGCAGGCTCTGCGCCAGTCACCATCCCGGGCTCCCTGCCTCGCTCACCATCCCTGCAGTCATCCTCATCCCTGTCCACCTCCCCGCTCAGCTCACTCTCCCAGTCGCTGCCAGGGCCACTTGTCTCCTCGGCCATGACACCCCCTCAGCAGCCGCTGCCCCTCAGGTCAGAGCCGGCCGTACTGGGCTCCGCAGCCTCGTCCTACGGCTCCTTAGGTGAGTGCCCCCTGCCCCACCATCACTCCCGCTGGCTCTGGTGCTTGGAGTATGTCTCAGGTGCTCTTGACCACAGGGCACCCCACCTGCCTGGAGGGGGCAGTGCCACACTCGACCCACACCATGCAGGAGACTAAACCAGCATGGCGTGCTGGTAGCTGCTTGCGTGGGCTGTGTGCCGGTGGGTGGGCTCACTCAGGAGGGACCTGCTGCCCCCGGTGGTGGGGGTCTGCTGCAGAGCTGGGATTGAGTCCCTAGGAGGTGGGTCCCTGACAACAGCCCTGGGAACCCCCTCACCTCTCCATGAAGAGGGATATGTCCTGCGGACCTGCCACATTTTAAAAGAACACAGTTTGAGATGAGGTCTCGCCATGTTGTCCAGGCTGGCCTCAAACTCAGGGATCCTCCTGTCTGGGTCTCAAAGTAGAGTGTGGGTGTCTAAGTGGCTTGGTCCCCCTTTCTGATGTCACACGAGTAGCATATGTGGCCCAGGGAAATAGAAGCTCCTTGGTCAGGTCTGCACATGGAGTGCTTGGAGAATGGCTGCCCCATATGCTGTCCACAGGAGCCCTGAACTAAGTTCCTTTCCTGTCTCGTCTCCCGAGGGATGGGGCTGTGCCTCAGTGGCAGAGCTCTTGCTGAGCATGCTAAGGCCCTGGGTTCAACCCCCAGCTCCACAAAAAGACTCCCCAAGGGGTTAGGAAGCAGGCCTGCTGGAAAGGCCTGGTGTGACCAGCACTGTGGCCTATGCCAGTTCCAGAACCTGTCCTGAGCTGGTGGAACCTCCCCTGGGGGAGCTAGTCCTGGAACTGGGCTCTGTGAGGGCAGGAGCACACACAGAACCTCCCAGGTCTCTGCACAGCACCATTGTCTCCATACCAGGTCTGAATGGTGTTCCTGGGAGCATCTGGGACTTTGTCTCTGGCAGCTTCTCTCCCAGTCCATCCCCCATCCTGAACACTGTCCCTGCCTCAAGTGCAAGTCCACACAGTGCGGAGCTGGCCCGGGTCAGGCGGCAGCTGGATGAGGCCAAGAGGAAGATCAGGCAGTGGGAGGAGTCTTGGCAGCAGGTGAAGCAGGTGAGGCAGTAGGCACTTGGGTGGGGCCCAGCCATGTGGGTGAGGCAGTGGGCACCTGGGCAGAGCTCACCCTGCTGCCTCCACCCATCCTTGGGTTTCAGGCCTGTGACGCCTGGCAGCGAGAGGCTCGGGAGGCTCAGGAGCGGGCCCGCATGGCGGACAGCGACCGGCAGCTGGCCCTGCGGAGGAAGGAGGAGGTGGAGGCCCAGGTCCAGCGGCTGCAGGAAGAGCTCGAGGGCCTGGGCCTGTCCTCACTGCCTGGGCTGCGAGGCTGTGGTGACGTGGGTGCCATCCCTCTGCCCAAGCTGCACTCCCTGCAGAGCCAGCTGCGCCTGGATTTGGAAGCTGTTGATGGGGTGAGTGCTGGGGTGTGGCAGTGCCAGGAGCTGTGTTCTTGGAGGGATGGGGGCCTGCCTGGCGAGGGTCTGATGCTACTTCTGCCCCCCCCCCCCCCCCCCCCCCTGCCCTGGGTACCTCCTTTCCTGCCAGGCTGGCCCCTGCCCTTCACCTTCATGCTCTTCCCCTGCTTCTAAGTGCTGGCAAGCAGGAGGCTGTGCCCTCCGTGGAGAAGGTGGGCCTGTCCACCTCAGGGGGCAATGGGAACTCTGGGCCCTTCCTAGGAGTGATCACACCAGGTCCCTGGGCCCCACCTTTTATCCCGCCTTTTTGGCATAGCACAAAACTCACCCATTCAGCGTGGCTGGAAGCCCCTTTCACACCAGGTCATCTTGTGGAGCCTCTGGCAGGTTCTGTGGCCCTGCTTCCCCCTCCAACCGTGGCCAAGGCCACAGCTTGCACCAGTCTGGCTGCACCCGCTTGGTCAAGGGTCCTGCTTGGCCCACATACTGAATACCAAGCTGCTGCACCTAGGCCCAGTCGTCGTCCTAGCCAATCCCTCCCCTGTAGCTGTAAGTGGCTCAGGACCGGCTGGCGGCTCCCCTTTGTGGGGCCCCTGGCCAGGTGTCCACTCAGCCCTGATGTTCTGGGCACCTCTGATCCTGAAGCCGCAGCTGCTGTGTCTTCCTGGGATGCTGCCCTCTGCCTGGAAGACCCTGGGCCCACTGGGCTCCACTGGGCAGGTGGCCTCAGGCTGAACCAGCCGTTCCTTCTCCACAGGTGATCCTCCAGCTCCAGGCCAAGCAATGTGTGGCCTGCCAGGAGCAGGCCCCTAGCACCGTCTTACAGCCCTGCCAGCACCGTGTCCTGTGCGAGCCGTGTGCAGCCAGTGCGCCTGAGTGCCCCTGCTGTGAGGGTCAGCCCCTTCCCTGGTGACCAGAGGTGGGGCCTCATTCCCTCCAGGGCATGGGTGCAAAAAGACTGCAGAGTGCCACAGTCACGTCTGGTGCCACCGTCAGGACGCAAGTCCATGCCTGTTGCTACCAATGGCCTTTGTGGCACTTTTATCACCCACCACATCCCACTGGCGTCTTCAAGGTATTCTCCAAACCCTAAAGCACCGCAGAACCCACTTCCTGTCCCCGTGGTAAGCACCATGGAGGCCAGGTTCAGTGCCACGGTCCTGATACTGCAGTGGCCAGGCCACTGGGGGGTCTCTTCAAAGCACTTTGTAAACCGAGGAATTTAGTTTTAAATCTTATAAGCTGCTTTCTAGGTCCATGTTTTTTAATATATGATAACATGAAGCTTTATGTGTACTGTGAACTTGAACTTTCCCATCAGTTGCTGTCAACTCATAGTGTGGTGAATATATTAGATTTCATATTCTGAACTACTTATGAAATGAACATTTATCTAGTAGTAATGCCAACCTAGGATTTTACATTTTCAAATCAAGTGCAAACATAGTATTTATAAGCAGAGTGATTATTGAGATGCGCGTTTGGATGTTCTCGACTTTACCTAAGGAGCTCTTTCCCGAAGTGTGCAGGGCATGTGCACCTGGCTTTGTTCTGGCACAGAATAGACCCAAGCACTCGGGCCCCTTTAAGTGCCTGTGCCTTGCACAACAAGTGAAGGAATCGGTTCCTTTGGTTTTTGTCTTCTCCTGGAGGCTCTGAGGGCCAGTGTGGTCTCAGGAGTGTGCACCAGAAGGGGTGGATGTTAGGACTCTCAGATCCATGCTGTAGACAGCTGTGTTCCCGTGGAGCTTCTCAGATGTCTGGGGCACCCTGGTTCTTCCTGAATTGGGAAACCTGCACCTCCCACACTGCAACTGCCCACAACTCCTGCTGACCTGACTCGAGAGACTGCAGTGGCAGTGCATGGTGTCCAGGGTGATGGCATTGGTGACAGTCAATTGAGTCGTACATCAGTTGTGATTAGAGCTCATCCATGTGACCAGCAAGGTGCCTCTGCGGCCCGGGGCCCCAGCTCTGCCATGCTGCCCCTGCTCATCAGCTCCTGGGGCCACAGTGGTGCCAGGCAGCCTGGCCTCAGACTGTGGCAGGAATGCTGCTAAGAACAGTCTGAGGTGCTTGGGGAGAGAAGAGAAGTCTGCCGTGTTTGCAGACCTCACCTGGGTGAGCAGAGGGACATCTTTCAGGTGCACTGTGGGCTGGGTGCCTCCTCCCAGGGCTTTGCCAAAGACTTTAAGTAGCATTTTCTAAAGTGCAAAGTGACTAGGTAAACATTTTTATCAGTGACCAAATTAGAATGTATTTAATACAGTAGACTATTTAAAAGCAATTTCTAATATAAGACAAACCGATAGAGAGATTCTGTCATTTCAAAGGAAGTGAATCCGTGACGTCCCACAGCTAGTCCACTACAGAAGGTACCTATGGACGTGGGTTAGTGGCGCTCCTGTTTCTTATCAGTGATGACCTGTTAGCTCAGTACCTAGACATTACATATATTTTGTGCTACTGTTTTTGCTGTTTATTTTTGTTAATATTTATGCACTTGTTTCCATTTTGGGCCTTTGGTCTTTTTGGAGATAACAAGACAAAATTTATTACTGGTGTCTAGCCTAAACATTTTCAAATCATAGACCTAAAACTCAGCTGTTTTTAATGGTTTATCTGTAATAAGCTACTCCGGCCAGCTCTTTCGGTGGAATTTGGCCAGTGTTCTCATGAGTCTCCAGTGCTGCTTCTGGGGTGGGGATGGTGGCAGAGGTGAGGGGCCACAAGGCAACAGCTAGGACAGCAATGGTGCTGGCCTCTGTGCACTGGCTCTTCTGGAATCAGGAGGGCACTGGAAATAGGTATGCAACAAGAATTGCCCAGGAGTGGGTCTGCAGTGCAGGATCCCAGGATGCTACCCACTGATCTGTTCTGGGCGCCCAAGAGCACAGCAGTTGGGGAGGCTCAGGGTCCCGTGGGCAGGTGATGGCGGTGGGGTCCTGGGCTAGGGGTGCTGAAGCCCTGTGGTGACTCTGTGCTGGTGTTCCTGATGTCTGTCACCCTCTAGTGTTCAATCAGTGTCCCACACTGACTGACTAGCCATGGGGGTGGTGCGGGGTGCGGATGCTCCCTGTGGTGTGTCCAGCACTTAGCTGAATGTGCTGAGTCGGATTATCCTAACCCAGAAGGTCGTATTTATAATGTGTGATCATTTACTTGTAGAGGACCATTTAAAATTGTTAACATCTGTTTAAATTTTTTTACACTATATGCAATGGTTTACAGAACTCATGGAATTATTTTTATCAGTATGGGAATTAATTAAAACTTTGAATCTTTATTTTGTCTGTGTTTCTCAGCACAATGCCTGGCCAGCAGGTCCTCATGGGTGCCTCTGCCTGGTGGATAGGCTCGGGGGAGCCTCATCTTCCCTGCATAGGTGGGTTCCAGGGCTCTGCCTGCCTGCTGCAGGACACAGAGGCTCTGCACTGTCTCCTCCCGCCCACGTGGCTGCCCAGGTCAGGAGGTGTTCCCACGCAGTCCTGGATCACCTCTCAGCTGCTCTGAGACCCCGTCTGTGGGAGAGTGCTGGCCCAGGTGCTCAGAGTGGGAGGTTTCTGCAAGACACCAGGCAGGCGGTCAGGTCTTGCCCCACGGGCAGCAGACCTGAGGCGGGCTGGGGGCCCTGGCCCTGGCTGACCTGTGGGCTTGGCGTGGGGGATGTGGTGCTGGCTCAGCAGACTGGCAAGCCTCTTTATCTCCTTTGACAGTTCTGAGTGTGCCTGGAACAAGAGTTCCAGTGACAGGTGAGACCCCTGTGGGAGACACCAAGACTAGGAACCCTGCCCTTTCTCTCTACCTTCTTACAGTTGTCCAGGGTCTCAAACCCCAGGCCTGTTGTCCCTCCTTCTTGCTGGGTGGGTTCCTTTTCTCCTGGACCCTTTAAGTAGCCAGCATCCTCAAAAAGTGCCCTCAGCGATTTCTCATAGCCCTGAAGGTGGAGGAAAGAGATGGAGCACCGATTGGGGGCCAGCAGGGGGCCCCACTGAGCCTCACTCACCTGTGGGGTGATCAGGTCATCAGCCAGTTCCTGCTCCACCTGTCCCCACCGCTGCTGCAGGGCCTCTGGCAGGGTCGGGTACACTGAGAACCCAACAGAAGCCAGGCTCAGCTGAGTCCCCATGCCCCAGCCCATCCCCCATCCTGAGTCCTACCTAACAAAGAATGGGGGTGGCAGACAAGGGGGGTCTCAAAGGTCAACGCATAGACGCAGGTGCTTGGCTCAGACACATGGGCCAGTCGGTTGCTCTTCCCACAGGTAAGCTCCACCTGGGGAGGGAACCTCAGTGGGTGGCTGAGGGAGGACTAGGCCCTCTACCCGGGTACCCGCTCAAGCCCCACCTTGCTCTGCCGGCTCCGGGAGCGGCAGGAGTCACCGTCCCGCATCCACATGCCTGTGAAGGTGTTGTTGGTGATCTCCCACTCCTGCCAGATGCTGGGGAGGAGGGAGCATGTGAGGCAGGGGTGGGGACAGGGCAGGGCAGAGCCTCCCCATCCTCTGCCTTGCTCACCCGAGGATCCCACTGTAGGCGTTCCAGCGGAAGGTCTGCTCATGCTGGGTCACGTTGTGGAATGGGCAGAATTCATACTTGTACCTGGGGGCAGAGGGGGTTCGGGATCCTCGGGTCTGCAACACCCACCCCCTGCAGGCCTACCGGTACTCACGTGGACTCCACCAGGCTGAAGCACTTGCCAGAGAGTCTGAAGAGATGCGCAGGCCCTGGAGAAGGAGAGGGCTACGTGAGTCCAGCACAGACCCGACACCCACCAAGCCAGGGGCCACAGGCACGGAGACCAGCAAGCACCAATCTCCTTTCCCCATAGAGCCAGGGACAGCCTCCAGGTTGCCACCAACAAAAAGCACCATTAAGCCCGCCACACAGGCTCTGTGATGTCCACGTCTCTGTAGAGACAGCAGGGCTGTGCTGTGCCCAACGCCACTCTTAGCAGGGACCGTACGCCCATGGCTGCCCAAAGAGTCACCAGGTAGGACTGGGAAACAAGCCTTGGTGTGCAGGACTTGAAGGGCAGGTGCAGGCTCAGGAAGATAGGAGGACCAGTCCACAGAGATGGGCAGAGCTTTCTCAAAGGACCAATTTTCAACAACAGAAATCACGAGGCATACAAAGAAACAAGAAAACGACCACCTAAAAGAAAATTCTACCAGAAGAAAATGGAGTGGGCTAGGGTGTGGCTAAGTAGTAGTGTGTGCCCCTTCATCCTGGGTTCCCTCTGTGCACAAGGAACTGCATCTTGGCGAGAAGTTGCTGCCAAAAAGGAGAAAGCAACTAAGGTGCACACCTGGCTTTCTGTCCCTCATTTTTTAGGTGCTGCAGCAGTGGCCTCTCCCGCCAGACAGGATCTCCCACTCCTGGGCTCCAGTGGTCCTCCTGCCTCAGCCTCCAGAGCAGCTGGGATGTGTGTGTGCACCACTGTGTTAGCCTATAGCGACACGTTTTATCACTACCATGGAGGTTACATAGAACACCCTCGAGTCATACACATCGACTGTTTTGGTCCCTGGGGATTAAACCCAAAGGTGCTCTATCACTGAGCACTTATATCCTCAGCACTTATTTTTCATTTTGACACAGGATCTTTGTAAGCTGCCGAGGCTAACCTCAAATTTAGAATCCTCTTGCCTCAGTTTCCCAAGTCACTGGGATCATGGGTGTGCACCACACACGGCTATAAATCTGACTTGAATTTGCACCAACTCCACCAACTCAACTTTACTTACAAACAGGAGCTACTCTTGCACAGGTCCATCAGGCCCGGCTCAGCCACCTATGTTACAGCTCACGTCTCGACTTATGCTCACAGACGTATAATTAGTTTTTATGCATTTGTTTTCTAATTATACAAAACAGAGGACAGCCTGGGCCTGTTTGCCCGTGTACCTACCTCTAGTGGAGGACTTCAGCCTTCACCAGTTACTGGCCAGGGCCTCTACTTTCAGCCAATAGGTTCCATGTGGCATTTCTGCTAAGGTGGGTCAACTAATAACAAAACCCCAGGGTGCTGCTTATCTAGGAATGTGTCCACCCTCTTTTGGTGGGGGTGCTGAAGATTGAACTCGGGCGTCAAGCATATATTCTGGAGCTTTGATGCCTTAAGAGACTTTTTTAGCTCCAAAGACAAATAGATTGAAAGTGCAGGGATGGGGAAGACATGGAGCTGGGTGGCTGCACTGACTACCTCAGAAACTGCTAAACAACACTGCATGTGGACCCAGAGTCAGCTCGCCAAGCTGTGGCGCTGGGGCTGGTGGGACGAAGGGGAGGCAGAGTTCCACCATCAGGCTTGGAGACACCATTCTTCTACCTTTATTTTTCTTGCAGGGAGGTATTGGGCATTGACCTTGGAGCTGTGACCTAGCCCCAGTCCTTTTGCTTATTTTGAGACAGTTGTTGAGGTTGGCCTTGAATTTGCAATCCTCCTTCCCCAGCCTTCCAAGGGATGACAGGCATGTAGCACAACACCCAGCAATATTCCACTTCTAAGGGACGTGAACCACACTGTGAACCAGTGGACCTCAGCCGTGTGCACACAGTTTTTCAAGAACAAGCTGCATGTCCCACCACAAAGCCAGCGCTATTCCACTTGGACTGCAACTAGAAATCAAGAGCAGAAGGCTGGACAGTCAACGCTGCTTCCTCTGCAGTGCCGGGTTTGCCTGAGATGTGCTAGGTACCCACTCGACCACTTTGCTATCCCCACTGAAAACCGTCGGCACATTATTATGCAGTGGGTCACAGAAGATGAGAAAAAGATACCAGAACCTACAGGAGGCACCTATGGGATGCAGCAGAAGTAGTAAGACAGAGACAACTGCAGAGCTTCGGCCAGAAAGCAAAGTGAGCCAGGCACGTTGGCACAGGCCTATGATCCCAGTGGCGCAGGAGGATTGCAAGTTCAAAGCCAGCCTTAGCAACTCAGTGAGACCCTGTCTCTAAATAAAGATAGGAAAGGGCTGGGGATGTGGCTCAGTGGCTGAGCACACCCTGGGTTCAATCCCTGGTACCAAAAACAAAACAAAAACCCCTCATACTGACTTCACGTGCCTAGAGCAATTCGAAAAAGAAAAGCAAATTAAATCCTCAGGAAGCAGAGGGAAGGAAATAATAAAGATCAAAGCAGAGCTAAGTGAAATACAAAAAAATAAACCAAAAGTTAGTTCTTTTGGAAAAAGTCAACAAAATTGACAAAGCTTTAGCTAGAATGAAACAAAGGGAAGCCTCAAATCCTTCAAACCAGAAGTGGAAGTTGAGCTATGCTACCAAATGCACAAACAGAACAGGGTTGTGTGAGAGGATACTCTAGACAGTAACATAGCAGCATACACCAACCCAGGGGACTGCACTGGGGACACCCTGGCTGGTAAGGAGATAGGTGACCAGACTTCTAAAACACTTCCTAACCCCTCTGCACGGCCTGTATTTCCAGCCAGAGCAGACATCATGCCAAATGTCAAACTGCAAAACAACATGTTGAATGTATGCTTACGCTAAAACCTAGGGGGTGTGGGGGGCCTAGGAAACCAGCCAGGTAGAGTGGCTCACATCTGTAGTCTGAGCCATGTGGGAGGCTAAGGTAGGAGACTGGGGCCAACTGGACAAGACAACAAGACCTGTCTCAAAACTATGTAAGTCAGTGGTAGAGCATGTGCCTCGCGTGTGCAGCTGGGTTTGTCATGCCTCAGCACCACACAAGACACTGGCAAACTGAATCCAGTATGTTAAAGGATTATACACGGTGAAGTCACCTTCCCCTCAACAAGGGGAAAATCAGTGTAATATACCACATTTAACAGAGTGAAGGGAAACCTTGACTTAAATTGATACAGTGAAAGTACTTAACAAAATCTAATATGCTTTCCCAATTGAAAATACAGGGGTAATGGAAGGAACTTCCTGAGAAAGACGGGGACACACACCCCAGCTGACTTCAGGGTGAAGGGCTGAAAGCTCCTTAAGACCAGGAGCAGAATGAGGAGCCCTGAGCACTGCCCTACCATGGTGCTCCCTAGCAGAGCAGCTGAGTGGAGGGAGGACAGGGGTGAAGTCTCCTGCTTGCAGATGCCACAGCTTCCAGGAAGAAACCTTAGGTGCCAGCAAAACTTGCCCGGCCAGCCTAATGGTATTCATCTGTATTCCCAGCTGCTCACAGGCTGAGTCAGGAGGAGGCAAGTTTGAGTCCAGGCTGCACAATTTAGAGATGCCCTGTCTCAAAATAAAAAGGGGCTGGGGATACAGCTTGATGGTGGAGCATGCCTGGGCTTAATCCCAGTACTGCACAAAAACCCCAACCAAAACTGCACTGAGCCATCCAAGTCCATTTATAACAGCATCAAAACATTCAGGGGAGGGATTCAGAAATAATCCCCTCCAGGAGGGGAGGGGAAAAAAAAAGTACACCCAAAATTGCAAAATGTTGCTAAAAGAAACTAAAGACATGCATGGAAAACACTGGTGCTCTACTCCTGAGCTATTTTTTAGTTTTAAGTGGACACATTTTTATTTTTATGTGGTGCTGAGGATGGAACCCCCAGCCTCATGCATGCTAGGTGAGCTCTCCACCACTGAGCCCCAGCCCCAGCTGCCCAGACCTTTTTTATACTTTATTTAGAGACAGGGTCTTGCTAAATTGCTGAGGGATGACTTTTAACTCACCATCCTCCTGCCTCAGGAACTCTACCTGGCCTGATTTAATGTTTCTAAAATGACACTACTGGGGTTGGGGCTCAGTGGTAGAGCACTCACCTAGCACGTGCAAGGCACTGGGTTCCATCCTCCGCACCACATAAAATAAGTAAAACATAGGTATTGTGTCTGGGTACAACTAAAAAAATAAATAAAAATGACACTACTCAAACTTAATATAGATTTAATGTAATTCCTATCAAAATCCTAATGACTTCTTTGCAGAAATATCCATTCTAAAATTCATACAGAATCTTAAAAAAAAAATTCTTGAAAGAAAAACCAAGTTGGAAGACCTCCCCCTAAGTGACATCAAGACAGTGTGGAGAGGCTATGGCTCAGTAGCAGAGCACTCACCTAGCACATGCGAGGCTCTGGGTTTGATCCTCAAGCACCACATAAAAATAAGTTAACAAAATAAGGATTGTGCCTGTGTATAACTAAATACGTATGTGTGTGTGTGTATATATATATAAAGTTTATATAAACCATATATATGACAGTGTGGAATAGGTAACCCAGAAAGGGACCTGGACATATAGCCAAATCGTCTGACAAGGGGCCAAGGCCACTCAGCTGGAAGGACAAGCCCTCTGAGGCACACAAGGAAGGTAGATGTCCATGCACTGATCTATAGACACTAGCTCTAGACGGATCCACGAGGTTAAAACTACGCTCCTGGAAGAAGATGGGGACGCTCGACAGGGACTTCCTGGACGTGGCACTGAAAGCAGATAACAGCAGCAGAGTCAGGCCAACAGACCTGAGAAGCGGGCATCAGGGGCCCATCCGGAAGTGCACCAGGCACATGCTAGGCTCTGGGCTCTGACCAGCCCCAACCGGAAGGGTATGAGGAAACGTGAAGGGCCAGCCATGGAGTGGGAGGGGACACCTGCAAACCACCTGACAAGAGCTTGACATGAAGAATAACAACAAAAAACCCAGCAATTTAAAGACCAGCAAGGACTGGAGAGCCACTTCTCTGATGGAGCCACACACACTACCCACAGGCACATGAGAAGGTGCTCACCACTAAAACCCAGGCGGATGTGCAACCTCTCTAACCACCCACTCTGGAGGCTGAGGCAGGAGGAGCCAGGTTCTAGGCCAACCTTGACAACTTAGCAAGACCTTGCTCAAAAAAGGAGCTGGAGATGTAGCTCAGTGGTAGAGCACCTCTGGGTTCAATTCCCAGTACCAAAAACCCACCCCAATGGGAAACTACTTTGGGGTTAAGACGGCTAGCAGCAAATGCTGGTGAGCATGTGGAGAAACTGGCATCTGAGCTGCATGGGGGAACTGCTGAAAAATTTGGCAGTCTTTCAGAAAGCTGAACAGTCACCACAGAATTCAGCACATCCACTGTGGTGGGGCTGGAAGCAGAGGCTGGGACGGCAGCACACTATGTCCACAGCAGCAGTATCCCCGGCATCTAGAACATAAGGTGCTCATCAGACCAGTGGAGCTGCGAGGGAGTGGGCACTTTCTTGTGCACAGCATGAACGGTCTGAAGATGCCTCCAAGTGCACCAGGCCTGGCTGACACCTGGTTGCCCATACCTGAGCACCCATCTCCTCCTCCTCTTCACAGCCCCCTTCCAAGAACCATAGCTGGGACTTCCCCCCACATCCACCACCTACCCACTGAGGATTCCTGAACAACTCTGCCCACTGGACCCACTCACAACTCCTTCGTGAATATCCCCCACTCTGAGCAAAACCAAGCTCATGGCCTGGCCCCCAGCCTTGGGCACCCCATCCTAGTGAGAGACCCCACTTCTAAGGCTCCTTCAGCCATCCTCCCAGCCACTTGCTTCTGCCTTGCCCCCTCCCCAGATCCAAGGTCAGGCCCTGCCAACACCTAATCTTTCCTAGCCCCCACTCCTGCCCACCAACACCAAACCAAGGCAAATTCCTTGGTGTCATGCACATCTGCTGTGCCCCATCTACCTCTCCACACCACAGCAGCTCCAGATCATCCCCTCAACAGCCCCTGCCCATCTTGTTGCTGAGCTGGGGCACAAGGCTCCTAAAGTTGGTAGGGACCCCGGCCCCTGTGCTCCCGGGTCCCCTTCCTCCTCAGTATATCCTGCTGCTTTCCTTCTGAGACCTCCAAGCCCACCAGCAATGACCACCACATGTATTTCCGTTTCAGCCTAATTCTCTCCTTCCTTGGGCTGAAGTTGTGGTTCAGAGGTAGAGCTCTCGCCTAGCATGCATGAGGCACTGGGTTCAATCCTCAGCACCACATAAAAATAAAATAAAGGTATTGTGTCTGCCTATAACTAAAATAAATATTTAAAAAAAAAAAGATAATGCCTCCCTCAGTCATAAGGGGGTATGTGGGGTGCCATGTTGCCAATGCACTGGCTCTAGGTTTATAGTCAAAGAGAAAACAATTAAAACACACACACCTGCCATATGTTGAAGGAATGTCAATGCAAGAAAAAATTAAAGTGCACACATCTGACTACACAGCTACAGAAAAATCTATTCTGGAAAAAGGACACCACATAACAAAATGAAAAGATTGATAAACTAGGAAAAATTATGTAACTTACATCCAAATGAAGTGGCACAGTCCCTAACACAGAATTCCCAGAAAACACCAAATTAATGGAAACTCAAGTAGAACAAAATGGAATGACTGTGCGCACATGTCTGCACATGCACACAGAGCCATGGTGCTTCTGGCTGCTGTCTGGCAAACCTGTGGCCAGGAGTTGTATAGGTGGAGTACAGTGTTGCCACTCTCTTTTAGAGGCATGGCACAGCTTCTGTGGAGGGCAGTGTATCCACGGCAAAAGCTCCATGAAGGCACTCTTGGGCCAGCAATTTGCCTCCAGAACATCTTCTGGAGCACACCTAGGCAGCTGCACAGACCAAGCCCCACTACAGCAGAACCTGCAGCACCAGTCTACACGCAAACCCCAAAGGCCATCCGCTGGAAACATGGGAAAAATTACGGTATACAATGGCGTGTTAGAAAGGGAGAAGGCAGCAAAAGACTCAGCAGAGAAAAAAAGCAATCCATGCTGGGGCTGTAGCTCAGTGATAGAGTTCTATGCTAGAATAAGTGGGTCTCTGGGTTCCATCCTCAGTACCAAAACAAATAAAAACACCCCACAACCAAATATAAGGTAATCCACAGAACAGGGGAAAAGATTTGCAAACCAAGCTGTGCACAGTGACACATGCCTCTAATGTCAATTACAAGGGAGACTGAGGCAGCAGGATCCCAAGTCTGTGGCCAGCCTGGTCAGCTCAATATAATTCCATCTACAAATAAAAAAGGGGCTGGGGATGTAACTCAGTGGTAGAGCATGTATTTAGCATGTGTAAGGCCCTGGGTTCTCTCCCCAGCACCAAAAAAAAAAAAAAAAAAAAAATAGAAAAATTAAAAATATAAACCTTGAGAACATGATGCTGAATGCAATATGTCAGACACAAAAGGACACAAATTACAGGTATGCCACCACTCACAAGGTACCTACAGTGATCAAATTCAGAGACAGCAGAATGACTGCCAGGCCTAGGTGGGGAGTTAGTGTTTGATGGGCAGTTTCTGGCTGGGAGTATGAGAAAGTCCTGGAGACGGAGGTGGTTATGGCTACACAGCAACCTGATGGACCTAATGCTGCTGAATCTGCTCACTTAAAAGTGGTTAAAATAAAGCTGCAATGTAGCTGTTGCCTAGCACCCAAGGCCCTGAGTTCAATCCCCTGGGGGCCTGTCCTGGAAGGGTGCATCTTTCTTCAACCTTGCTTCTGCTTCCTGACCTCACCTTAGCTAAGCAGCTTTCTTCCACTGGGTACTTCCCCCATCATGTCCTACCTCACCAGGGTCCACAGTGCTAGAGTCAGCCATGTATGGACTAAGATCTCTGGAGCCATGAGCCCCCAAATAAGTTGTCTCTACTCTAAGTTGTTCTTGTAGGGCATTTTGGTTACAGTGACGAAAACGCTGATTAAGACACTGCTCCCCACCCACATGGCATTTTCCATGCCCATTCTATACAGTCTTTCTTACTTCCTGTCTACTGCCCATCCTGCACCCTACTTGCAAGGCCAGCTCCATGAGAACAAGCACTGGTATGTGCTGTTTACTTCTGCTATCCCAGCACAGGTCCTGACACACACAGGTGTTCAACAACAAATCCTTGGGTTTCTGTGTTTTCTCCCAGCAGACCCCTGGAGAAGAATGAGGAGTGTACAGGGAGGCCATCAGAACAGCCCAGGGTTTCAGTACCCAACTGGCTTGAAGGCTTGGCCTTGTGGAGTTGAACAGAAGGCAAGTGAGGTGTCCTCACTGTCACAGGCAGCACTGTCCTGAGAACTACAAGGAAGTTCTGCGTGAGACTATTTCTAACGATCAAAAATGTAAACCACCTGAATTCCTGCAAGCCTACCAAGGTTTAGACTACCCAAACAGCAAGTGAAAAGAAAACTTAAACCCATCACCATGAAGACATACAGTGAGTAACGGCGACAACGACACATCAGCCAAATACTTCTATAGTACTACTGTTAAAAGATTTTAGAAAGAGCAAAGATCGCAAAACCTTACTACACGTTTTGTACGTGTGCACTATCGGAATGAAGGCTCGGGGACGCCTGTGGAAAGACACACACCAAAGCGCTAACAGCGCCGCCTCCAGGGAAGGGAGGGGAAGGACGAGGCCAGCGGGGAACCGAACCCCGCGCGAGAACGCTCTGGACCAGCGGACGCAGAGCCCGCGTCCGAGGCCGCCCGTCGCCACGCACTCACCAGAGAGCGGCGACGGCTCCCGCTTGGGCTGCAGGCGGTTGGTCTGGGGCAGGAACGGGTTGTTGAGCCTAGGGGGACAGCAGGTCAGGGCCGCCCGCCGCGCGCCCGCACCGCTCGCCCGCTCGCCCGCCGGGCGCTCACCCGAAGGCGTTGGGCTCCTCCACCACCTTCATCTTGGCCGCAGCCGCTGGCGCGGGCCCTGCGGGGAGGGAGGCAGTGAGCGGGCGCGGGGCGGGGCGCTCGGCCGCCGGGGACGGAGGACCACTGACCGCGCGCCGCGAGCCTGAGGAACAACAGCAGCAGAAGCAGCAGCACGCCGGCCAGCCCGGCCGCCATGGCTCCGCCGCGCGTCACATGACACCGGCGGCCCGCGTGGGGGCGGGGCCGGAAGTGGCGTCGCCAGAGCGACCGGATCGAATCGGCGCCGGCGCGTGCGCTGTTGCTCAGGGCCGGGTGGTGTCGGCGCGGCGCCTGTCATGGGGCGCAGGAAAGCGGTTCGCGGACCGGGGGCCGAGGGTGCCCACGCGCGGCGGCGTCCGGGCCGCTCCCTGGAGGCCTTCGCCAAGGAGGTGGACGCCGCTTTGCGGGGTGAGTGCGAGGGGGAGGGAGAGGGGGGTCGGGGCGCCCTAGAGCCCGCGCTAAGGCCCAGGACGCTCTTCTCCCTGCACAGCGTCCGTGGAACCCGAGGAGGACGAGGGCGGCGCGGGCCCGGCGGCGCTGCCCTGCGCGCTGGCTATGTGGGAGCTGGGCCACTGCGACCCCCGGCGTTGCACCGGCCGCAAGCTGGCCCGGCTGGGCCTGGTGCGCTGTCTGCGCCTGGGCCAGAGGTTCGGCGGCCTCGTTCTCAGCCCCATGGGCACCCAGTATGTGTCCCCCGCAGACAGGTAAGCGGGGGAGACCTGGGGACTGGCGAGGGGAAATAAGTTTTCTCCAGCTACTGCCTTAAAAGCTTGCCCAGGTAGTCCTTTGCCAGTGTCTGGGGTAAAGAAAGGACGCTCCCTATCCCTTGGGAGGCCAAGTTCCAGGGGTATACCTCACTTAGGGGGCCATCACCAAAGTGGTGCCAACCCTCAGAACTTAGCCTATACTGTTCCTGGCAGACAGCTGGTGGCACAGTCTGGGGTTGCAGTCATAGACTGCTCCTGGGCCAGGTTGGATGAGACACCCTTTGGGAAGATGCGAGGGAGCCACTTGCGGCTGCTTCCCTACCTGGTGGCTGCCAACCCTGTAAACTATGGCCGGCCCTGCAGACTTTCCTGCGTGGAAGCTTTTGCTGCTGCCTTCTGCATCGTAGGTGAGTTTCAGGCCTGTCCTGACAGCCTAGTGGCCTCTGCTCCCAGAATGGTATTTTCTCCCATCAGACCCCTGGAGAAGTGTGAGGGGTGTACAGGGAGGCCATTAGGACAGCCCAGGGTTTCAGTCCCCAACTGGCTTGGAGGCTTGGCCTTGTGGAGTTAAACAGAAGGCAAATGAGGTGTCCTCACTGTCACAGGCAGCACTGTCCTGAGAAACTTTCTTCTCAGCATTCTCAGGGAATTTGTGGTCCAAGGAGAAGCCCAGATGGAGACCCATGAGACCTGGGGACAGACTTGATGAGAATGTTTATTTCTCAGGAGAGGAACAGGCAAGGAGATTGGGCGGGAGACAGGACTGTAGTTTGGCAACCATCAGCTCCCTGGGATGGCAGCTGCACCCAGCAGCTGGGGTGAGGAGGACACATTCCCTAGAAGGATTGCTGACATCTCTGGGTCTTGTTTCCTATGCTGTTAGGCTTTTCAGATCTTGCCGTCATCTTACTGCAGAAGTTTAAGTGGGGCAAGGGTTTCTTGGACCTGAACCGCCAACTCCTGGACACATACGCAGCCTGCAGTGGACCAGAGGAGGTGCTACAGGCAGAGCAGGAGTACCTGGCCAGTGCCAAGCATACTCCCCAGGAGGAGGAAATTGGTGAGGCCTGACGTAGGTGGGTGTCCTCTGCGGGAGGCCCTCCAGACCTGCACGTTCTTCTGAAAAGCCTAGGGTCTCGAGAGCTCACTCAGAGGTCACTTTCTTTTCTTCCCTCCCTTGCTTTAGACCCCTTTGATGTGGACTCAGGGCGAGAGTTTGCAAACCTCAACAGGCCTGTGACCAGCACCCGGTAGGTCCTGACTTCTACTGCTCCTGTATGTGAGGATGGTGTCCTAAGCAACCCCTGGGTGATGACTGCAGAACACCGTGCAAGTCTGCTGGGGAGGATCTGGCCTAGAGAGGGCAGGGCCTAAGAGAAATGTGCCCTCAGCCCAGGGATGAGTGCATGAAGGGTGAGGGCTGAGTGAGGAGTGCCTTAGGTGCCACCACGAGGGGACACATTCTTCTCTTCCAGGCTGCCCACAGATACAGATGACAGCAGCGAGTCTGAAGACCAGGGGCCTGCCAAGGATGAAGGAGGCAATAGCTGCTCTCCAGAGGAGGAGACTCCAGAACCAAGGACTGAGGCCAGGACCCCAACTGAGACTTGGAAAGACATCAAGAAACAGCACAGAGACTGAAAATTGTAGACACCACATATATTGTTGAAGCTGTGTGATAACAAAGTCCAGGAATGTGGGGACAGCCAGGCCTGGCAGCTGTGGCCCCTGTGGCTGATGGCAGGGTTGTGCTCCTCTCCACATGGGAACAACCTTGCTTGAGATACTCTCAATGAAACTACAGGTTGAGAAGTAGCCCCTGGTGTGAGTCTGGTTCTTTGCACTTAGCCTGGGGTTGGGGGACTGCTTGTGAGAGACTGGGCCATGGGATAAGTGATGTGGTCATGCATGTGTTGCAGGGAAGGACAGCTGACCAGCTGATGCAGAACCCCCGACTTCCCTGTCACCCTCCTATCACTGGTGACATATACCTCCTGCCAGGCCCAGTAGCCAGGTGGGGTCTGGAACCCCACATGATTTTCCACAGACTTCTCTGTTCATCTGTGGGTGAGGGCTGGCACCCTACCCTCTACTTGTCAGCCCTGGCAGCTACTGTCCTCCAAAGCTTGGGTCCTTTAAACTTGACTCAACCTGTGGGGGCCTTACTCTTTCTGGGAGAGATAGGGTAGAGCTTCCTCTGAGAGGACCCTCCAGGCTAGGGTCAGCCTGGACCCTAGCCCACCATGCCAGTTGGGGACAGACCATTCTTTGTTTGGGGGCTGACCAGTGAGTGCACTGGAGGATACTCAGCAGCATCCCTGGCCCCCACCCTCTCATACTAGTATGTCTTTTCTAGTTCTGACTACCTAGAGTGTCTCCAGACTGCCTAACGGCCATGGGGAGCAAGGTTCTGCTGAAACCAGCTACCTGCCTCCCTAGGGAGCTGCCCACCTAATGACCAGGCCCATTGTGATCTCTGCATCCAGGATGTAGCTGCTGGCCAGTCCTTCCAAGTTGGCCTGTGTTCAGGGTGGGATGTACTGGGGCACAAGGGGTTCATAGCACACACCACAGGGACATAGCCAGGGCAGATGGAAGCCATATAGAGTCAGCTATGGCAGTTGAGGGCCTCAGTGAGGCCTGGCTGCACAATGTGGCATGTGGGGGGCAGCGGAGTGTTCAGGGGTCAGCCTCCATGCACTTCTCCAGTTCCTTGAGCTTCTTGACGAACTCTTGTGCCTCCTTATTGGTGCGACCTTCCAGCATCCTCAGTGCTGACCTCACTGCAGGTGGACAAGTGGGCATGTGGGAGCCAGGCCCACTGCCCTGTGTCCCCACCATCACCCCATGCTCACTTACCCTGGGCTCTGGGCCGTCGCAGGTGCAGGGTGATGGGCTGCCCAGCCCTCGAGCCCGCTCCCACCTGGGGCCTCGCAATGCCACTGACGCTGCCCAGGCTGAGGGCAGCCTCCCCAGCGAAGTCATTGGTGGACAGCCAGTCATGGTCCATGACAGTGAACAGCACACAGGCCCCACGGTGGCGGCATGCTTCTGCGGGCACAGAACTGCAGAGGAGGCAGTCAAGAGCCAGCCATGGACCTGTGGGCCAGGCTGGGATAGGCACAAGGGACAGGATGGGCACTCACAAGTGGAAGAGCTCATCGAACACTGGGTGCAGTGTCCGGGCCTTGACCTGGGTCCTCTGGCTGCGGACCAGTGGGAAGAGATGAGGTGGGCCCAGTTCCACGATCACGAAGGGGTCGCTCAGGCCTGTGGGGCACAGCCGTCAGCAAGCCCCCAGCCCCAGCCCCCACCCAGCCACCACTGCACCTCACCATTGGCGTCCAAGGGGAGCAGGTCTGCGGCATGCAGCACCTCCACGGCCAGCCGCTGCTCGGCTGCCTCATAATGGCAGCGGACACTCAGGCGGCCAAACCGGTTCTGCTCCAGCGACCTCTGTGGGAAAGGCCCGTAAGCAGGGCTAGGGAGCCAGGCAAAGGCCACACAGATGGCTGCCATCCTACCTGCTTGAGCTTGTCCAGGTAGAACTGCTCAATGCATTCCCGGGTGGAGCACTTGTGCAGACGCAGCTCTTCCTCCAGCCTCTGTGAGGAGGGGTGCTGGTGACTGGCCCCATAGGCCACTGCCCTCATGGCCCCCTGGCTTCATGCGCTAGGACAGGGCCTACTGTGGGGCAGTAGGCTGAATGTGGTGGCCCCCAGAGGGGTTGGGCCTCACCTTGTAGCTTCCATCCCTCAGGCTCTCCAGGGGCAGGCCCTGGCCCTCAGCGTGGAAAAAACTGACAAGAGCCTGGGGCGGAGAAAAAAGAGGGAGATACATCAGGGGGTCTGGCCTGATTGGGGTGTGGAGCCCCTGTAGGTGGGTCTTGGGCACCTTGGCAGAGCCACTCATCACACCTGGGATGGATAAGAAGTTCCAGGAGACCAGGGGAAATGCCAGCATCTGAGGCCAGACTCTGTTGTAACAGGTGGCCCAGGTGCTGCTAGGCAGCTAGGCTGTGGGGAGGAAGTGCTGCCTAGCAGGGAACAGGAGAAGCCAGGCAGAGGCTGGGTGTCCCAGCAGGGGCCCAATCAGAGGAAGGCCCTGGGGAGCTCCTCATGGCCCTACCTCCAATGTGAAGTGGAAGCGCCCGTAGAAGTCCGCAGAGACATCACTGTTGGCGCCCAGCGCCTGCAGAATGGCCTGCAGCAGCAGCTCCCAGAGGGCCTCCAGCACCCTGCAGGCACACAGCCTAGATGAGTACCTGGAATGCCCCACCCCACCTGCCCAACCTGCCCACCTGCCCAGCAAACCTGCTCAGGTTCTCCTTCACCAGCGAGGCATTCAGCAAGGCCAGTTTCTCGTCCAGGTACTTCATGAGTGGGGCCACAGCCTGTGGGCAGGGGGTCCTCAGGGCTGGCCTGAGCCTGGACCCTAACCCACCCCCAGCACACATACACTCACAGCCTCCTGCCCATGCCGGCACGCACCTCATCATTCTGAATAGAGTCAGGGGAGAGGCTGATGTGTTGCACGTACTTCCGAATGTCAGCCACCATCTGAGGGGAGGGGAATGCTCAGCATGAGGGTGGGGATGCCAGGGACAGCCTCCACACCAATGCCAGGCTCTGCCACGCTGCCTACCTTGGAGGTCAGGTGTGCTGTCACAGTGTGGGCCTCCCGATGCAGGTCCTCCTCCAGGGCCTGTATGCAGCTGAGCAGGGGGCGGGGAAGCACCCCGTCCAGCCCCAAGGCCCCCTCGGGCCATGCCAGGCCCCTCAGAGCCTGCCCTGAAGCCCTGCGCAGGAGCTCCACGTTGTTGAGCACCACACAGAGCTGGGAAGGAGTGGCCAGGCAGGTGGCTACAGTAGGTGGCCCCACCCAGCCACCACAGGTCCTCACCTGTCCCACCAGCCACTCACCGGCTCACTCACAGCCTCGCCAGCAGCCCCAGGCTGGGCATCCACCTTCTTCCGCAGCAGCTCAGTGTAGAAGAGGGCAGCCTCACACAGGTCCTGGGACGGGAGGCAGGCTGGCACTCAGGACCCCTCCTCTGCCCTGATATCCTCATAGCCTGCTCCCCTTACCCCAGCAGACAAACCTGGCTAAGCTGGGTGCCCAGCCCCTGGGCCTGGGCAGGGTCAGGCCATGCCAGCCGGACCCAGAGCTCCTGGATGTGGCTGAAGCAGAGGCTGGCAGTAGCTGCAGAGCTGCTGTGCCTGGACGAGGCATCCACAGGCTCCAGCTGGAAGGCAGGAGGAGGCCTGAGTGGCAGGGGACATGGGATGAGCCCCCGTGTGCTCTGGTGGAGCAAACACTTACCGTGTCCACATCCACAGCTCCCTGAAGGCGCCACTTGGACTGGTCCCGCAGCACCTGCAGCCAGAGCTTCACAGCAGGCAGGAATGGGGTGTGGATGCCGGCCAGCGCCAGGGAGCGACTGTCTCTGCAGTGGGAACTCATTCAGCACTTGCCCTGACACAGACTCCCCAGCCCAGCAGGTTCCAGGTTCAGAGCCCCAAAGTGGGCATCCGGGAAAGCCTCCTTCACAGAGCCCTGATCTCAGGTCCCAGAGCCTATCCAGAGGAGTCAGGGGCACAGGTGTTGAGGCACCCACCGGCCGGGGATGTAGCTCCAGAAGTGCTGGATGTCAGCCAGGGTCAGGTAGAGCTCAAAGAGCCCCGAGGCCACTTGTAGGGTCATCTTAGGGCTCAGCTCCTCCGTCAGCACCCATGCCTCCTCGGCCACCTGCCCAAGATGGCAGGATCATGCCTCTGCCATCAGGGAAACTAGAGCCCTGCCCAGCCAGAGGTCTCTCCCCACTCCCCACAGCCAGTGGGCACCCAGGGTTGAGGACCCTCCTCACCAGACGCTCCAGCTGCCGGAAAGTAAGGGTGAAGAAGTCCACCTTGAGGATGCTACAAAGGACAGAACTCAGTCACCTGCTCCCCACCAGCGGGGCCAGCCAGCCCCCACCCTGCCCTATACCCAGCCAGTATCAGCACTCAGGACAGGGCCTACCCATGGAAAAGGCTGGCGTAGATGCCATAGCAGGCCTGCAGGTCCTCATAGATGACGTCTGCCAGTTCGACAAGCCCGGCCAGGCGCTGTGGTCCTGGCTGCAAAGAAGCCTGGTTTGCACTGATCTCCCAGCCCCTGTGCCCACCACGACCAAGGCCGCCTGGATCCTCACCAGCTCTCGAGGACTCTTGGCACTCAGGAGCCTGTCGTACCACTCACGGTTGCCCCTCTGCAAGGGTCGCCAGCAAGGCAGCATGGGTTGGAGAGAAGGGAGAGATGGCAAGGGGCCATGGACCAGCAAGTCCAAGCAGGGCTGGGCTGGGCAGGGCCCATGGAGAGCCCAGGCAGGTCCAAACACACCTTCAGGGCGGCAGCGATGTCCATGTTCAGCTCCGTCTCAAAGGGGCAGATCTCAAAGGAGGGCTGGAAGAGCTGCAGCTTGTCCAGACACCTGGGCAAGGACAGCACACTCACGGGGGCCCAGCCAGCACCCACCCCACCCCACCCCTGCTCATGGCTGCACCTACTTCAGCAGCAGCTCCAGTCGGTAGACAGCTGTGCTGTTGGTGGCAGGGAAGTAATCCCGGAGCTGGCGCAGCAGCCGCAGCCCGAACTCAGAGAAAGCAGAGAAGCTGTCGGCCAGACTCTCCTCCTGGGGGGAAGGGGGTGTCTTCAGAGCTAAAGAAGCTGGAAATAGTGCTGGTAGCCCTGGTCACTGATGCTGGGGACCACCTTCCCTGCCTTGGCCAGCAGTGTTCCCCCACCTGTCCTAGGAATGCCGTCCACTGGTCTCCCCCAGAGTAGTCTCCCCTGCTGGCCTGTCCTGGTCTCAGCACCCCACACACTACACCAAAGACCCCTGGGCCCCTGCATCTGCTGTCCCCTGGGCCCTGTCCTGCCAGTGCCCATGCTCTCCTGCTGTTGCCCACAGCCCAGTCTGACCCCGGAGCCTCCTTCCCAGGTCCCTCCAGTGCAGCCTGCCACCTCCTCTGTGTACAGTGTGCATTGTCCCACACAAGGGCCTGGTCCCTCTGTCTTTAAGCTCAGGAGGGCAGAGCAGGACTAGCCCCCAGCACGGACATGGCCAATAGAAAGCAGGCCCTTGCTGTGCCCACCTGCTCCTGGGGTAGCAGGGGCGCCTCCTCCCAGTGTGCCTGCATGTCCTCCAGCAGCCCCAGAAGGTAGCCGTAGTCGAGAGTGCGGGTCTGATGGTGGCGGCTGCTGACTTGCCAGTGCCTGCAGGGGCCCAGCCCATAGTCAGAGGCATCTGCCCAGCCCTGCCACTCACAGCCCGCCCGCCCACTCCCACCCTGCAGAGGGTGGCCTGCAGAGCCCACTCACAGTACAGCCAGCTGCAAGGGGGACAGGTTGCTCTGGGCTCCGTGCAGACAGAGGATGGTGGTCCCAGGCCCGCTGAGCTCGCCATGCCAGCTGCTTGAATTGGGCTGGGAGCAAAGGTGGAGGGTGGGCAGAGGCCCAAGATACCCTCCACCACCATCCCCTGCTCTGACACCTGGTCCAGCTGCCCCAGGCTCCCAGAGGTGTCCACTACCTCCTCCACGCGATGCTCGAACCGCAGCACACGGCTGAGCAGCAACAGGTAGGACAAGAAGCCGAATCTCCCACGCTGGCTCATGATGGTATCCCTCTGGAACAGAGCCTGCCTGTCACCAGCTCTGCCCCGGCCCAGTGGGCAGGGGGCAGCGGTGCAGGGCAGGGCTTCTGCGGGACCCCACCTGTGTGGTGATCAGCCTGAGGACCAGGTGACAATCCCCCTGTACACGGGAGGCGCTGGAACGTGGTTCCAGCTTGAACCAGCGGTCTGCTCCAGCCACGGGCACCTCCTATGGGGTGTGTGGGGGGGTGTCAGGCCTAGGGAACTCTCCCCCACGCCCACCCCCACAGACCCATGGAACCCTGGGGAGAATGTGGGAGGGATCAGGGGTGCCCAAAGGCAAGAGGCACTTCAGGCAGCCCCTCCCTGCAGCCCAAGGAGGGTGGGAGACCCTTGGGAGTCAAAGGTCATGGCCACTGCAAGTGCCCCCATGCATGTGGCAGGTGTTCGTACCCGCACTGGGATGTTGAGGCACCCCAGGAAGTCATCCGTGTGGTCCTCGGTGGGCCCTGCCGTGCCATTCGCTCGGGCTGACTTAACAATCTGCTTGAAGTACCTGGGCACGACCGGGTGGGCTCAGGCCAGTGGCCCCGGGAGCCAGTTCCCACTGCAGGTCCCACCTGTGACTCGAGGGTGCAAGGCCCCCATCCCATACCTGCTCATGCCCTTCAGGCCAATTACTTCATTCAGCTTCCTGCATGCTTCTGCCAGGGACACATCATCATCGTGGTCCCTGGAGGACAGCATGGCTTGTCTGGCACTCCCAGCCCAGGTCAGAGGCCCCCGACTCCCTCCCCGACCAGAGCCACCCACTCCCCTGAAGGACTCAGGCCCAGTACCAGATGTCCAAGTGCAGCTGGTCGGTGCTGACATCCTCAATCTCACTGTGGGGACAGAGAGATGCGGGTGAGGGTCCTGGGTGAGCCTCTGCCAGAGCTGGGCTGAGGGCAAGTTTAGGGGCAGCAGGGAGTGGCCATGAGGTCCTGCTCTCCAAACAGCTTCTTTCTCAAATCTGCCTCTGCACTGTTATTAGCTGTGTGGCCATGGGGGCTCAATGCCCCTCTCTGGGCCTATTCCCTCCTCTGGAATGTAACCAGAACGTAAGGCATGCAATCAGCACCCCAACCTCTTTGAATTGCCTGGGACAGCACAGAGATGGGGACCATGTGAGCCATCATCCTCAGGACACGTGGCCACCTGTGGGGTGGGGGCCTTACAACAGGAAGTGCTCCTTCCAGACGGGGTTCAGAGTGCTGCTCTTGACCTCGGTGACCTGGATGCACTTGGCTGGCAGCGGGCCGCTGCGCTTGCTGCCCTTACGAAAGCTGAAGCGCTGCTCCTTCTGCCCACTCTGCTCCCGAGGGGTGCCCGAGGCCGGCAAGATGCCCAGCATGCAATAGGGGTCGCTGAAGCCTGAGACACAGCAGGCTCAGCCCCGTGCCGTGCCCACCCTCCATGGCTCAAGCAGACCTGGGCACGGCTAGGGGCCCACACTCACCGTTGGGGTCTTTGGCCAGAAGGTTCTTGGCACGCATGACAGAAACTTTCAGGGCATACGAGGGGGCCTGTGGACAGAGGGACGCTGAGAGCCCCAAAGGGCTAGGCAGCCCAGTGTGATCATCAACCCGCCCCTGAGCCTGCCGCAGGCTGCAGCAACTGGTCAGTCCACCCAGGAAGGCCACAGCCTTACCTTGGCCTTCTTCACACGCTCAATGGCCTCAGCATGCTGCTCTGGGTTGGTGCCAAACACCTGTGGGTGGTGAACAGGTGGGAGGGGCCCAGGTGAGCCCTGAGGAGAGGCTGGCTACGACTCTGGGGCCTCAGGTGCGTGAGAGTCAGAAATTACCACCTTGCACCTCACAGTGCAGGGGTTGGGAGTGGGCCTGCCCACCCCGTCCCGGCGCCTAACAGGAAGCATTGTGGGCATGTGGCAGTGAGGTCTGCATGGCCAGGACAGGGGAAGAAATAGAGTCGTGGTGTGCTGTCCATCCATTGGTTCACCCTCTGTGTATCTGTCTGTCCCATCTGACCTTCTTTGTGACCGCCCCTCCCTCCTGCTGGGTAGGTCTGCCAGCCTGCGTGTCTGCTCACACATGCCCATTACACCTGCTTGCTCATGCAGGTGTGGGGTGCATTCTGTCTACGGTTCAGGTGAAGGTGATGGGTGGGGTGGGGGCAGGGCGGCTGGCTCACCTGCTGAAGGTAGGCCAGAAGGACTTCTTCGTCATCCACCTGGTCAGGACTCATGGTGCCCGCCCGGTGGAGGACTGTATACAGGGCCTCCTCATACAGCATCTCCACCTGCACAGTGCTAAACCTCAGGCCCTGCTGTCCACTCCCTGTAAGCCCAGCCCCTCACCCCCACTGGCCCAGCAGAGCCCCTTCCTCAGGACCTTTGTACCTGCTGGGCCCTCTGCTCACTTGTCCGTCCCATCCATCTCTGCTGTCAGCCTGTCCTGAAACCCTGGGCATTCTAACCTAAGAACAGGAGTCAGAGCCCCCTGGGGCCGGACCAGCACTCCCTTACCTCCTCCTGGGTCAGGGCTCTCAGGCCACGGTTGGAGTCCACAGGTTCAGCTGGGGCTGGTGAGCCACTGCGTAAGAGGACCTGCAAGGGGTGCATGGGTGATGGTCTGGGGGCACGCAGGGCCTGCATCCACCACCACTGCTGGACAGGGGTACTCCAGGGGAAGGAGTGAGAGTGGAGACCTGAGGTGGACGGGGCAGAGGAAGCAGAGGTCCCATGCTGGGCGGGGCTGCAGCACCCAGGCCCATGCAGGAGGGTGTCCTCACCTCAGGGCACGGCAGGCCCTGTCTGCCTTCCCCCTTCTTCAGGATGAGACGCATGTGGGCAAAGAACTCCACGCCATCCCCAGGTTTCCTGGGAGAAAGGCCAGGTCAGCTTTGGCTCCAGGAGGTGCTGGCCCTGTGCCACCCTACTCAAGGGGCCCACACGGAGGATGGGGCCTTGTGATGCCCACAGCCTCGACTTCAGACTTCCTGTGTCCCTGCTTCCCACCCAGGTGGGAAGGCCCTTGGCAGGAGTCTGTCCCTGGGCACCCACCAGGCCCCTGTGGCAGGCTCCTGCAGGTCCGCACTGGTGCTTGCGGGCTCCTGTTCTGTCTTGCGGCGGAAGGACGGGCACACCTGCACCTGCCTGAGCACGCTGCTCTTGATCTCCAGCAAGGTTGACATGGTGGGGACCTGCAGCAGAGAGTGTGGCCACAGTCCTAGGTCATCCACTTTACAGAGGTCACCCAAGGGAGGCGTGGGGAGGAGAACAGAAGGGATGGCAGAGGCCTGGGAGCCTGCTCTCCAATTTGGAGTCTGGTAGGGCCCCAAGGGCTTCATGGACTCCTTCCAGGTAACCAACTAAGGTCTGTGTCCTCTACAGGGTGCCTCTGAGGATGTGGGAGCAGATGCCACCAAAGGTGGTAGAGTGCCCAGCTCATAACTGGCGTTCCATCTGAAGCTGCTGGACTTCACAGGGTATGTTCTGCACAGCCATGTCTAGGGCAGGGGTCCTTGTCTCTGGGATCTCCTCAAGAGGACCGAGATACAGCGGAGTGATGCCAAGCTCCCCCAGCCCCACTCAGGGCCAGGCAGACAGCTGTTACCCAGGCCCTCTGCAGAGGCCAGAAAATCACCCTGGTGCCACAGAAGAGCACAGGTGAGATGGGCCTGGAGAGCCAAGGGGCTTATAGCCTGGGTCTTCTGCCCACAAGTCCAAGGTGGGGTGGACAGGAGGGGATTGATCAGGAGGGGGTGCTTGGGATTCCTCATCCATCAAGAATAGCAGGGGGAAGTGCCCCATCCTTCTCCCAGGCTGCTTAGAAAACCGGAGGGGGAAGTGTCAGGGAAGAAAGCTCAGCTGACGTCACACCTGCATCTCCCTTTTGGTGGGTGCTGTTTCCCCTGCAGACCCCAAGTCAGAGGTCAGGACAGCAGCTGGTGCACTGTGGCTCCCAGAGCCCCCTCCCACTGCACCCCCAAGCCCAGGGCCCACCTCTGTCCTGGGTCAGGGCTTGCGTCTTCCCCACAGAGTTGCGGGGAGATCCCCTCTCCCCTGAGGAAAACTGTCTTTCTACCAGGCCGTCCCCATCCCACAGAACCCCCCCTCAGGCTCCCTGTCCCATCCCAAAAGCCTCAGGTTTACAGGGGCCCACTCAGTCCACTACTGGGCCTTTGCACTTACTGTCTGGGTCTCTCTGATGCTCACTCATCAACCCAGACATGTCAGCCCTTGCAAAGGGGGACCTTAATTTCCATCTCACAAAACAAGAAATGGACCAGTGGGTTTCACTCTTTCCCCAAGACCTCAGGGGTGGGCAGCCTGTGCAGGCCAGCTCCCATTCAGGCTGGCTCCACCTTAGAATGGTGAGCTCAATCAGGACCAGCCCAGCACACCTGGCTGCACACTCAACAGGTTCCTGCTGCCCATGGAGCTGCCTCTGGTGGGAGGCTCCATCCTGGCCTGTGCCCCACCAGCTCAGGCCAACACCCTCGACCACACTTCATCCTGCTCCCTGGCACTCCAAGCAGGGTTCCCTATGAAGGGGCTGCACTTGGGGGCCAGAAATGAGGCCTCACTGCCTTCAAACCTATTGGTGCCCCCCAATGCCCTCCCCTAAATGTTGGGGGGCTCAGGCAGGACGCTTCCTAAAGCTGACACACCTGCAGCTAGTCCGGAGGTCCCCAGGGAGCTGTGAGTCACAGCCCCTTTCCTCTCCAGTTGAGCAGAGAAGATGCCCCCCCCCCCCGAACCCCAAAGCCAGCTGAGCTGCTGCTGCCTGAGCTGTTGCCAGGGCAACCGCCAGCAGCAGCTGTGTGACAGGCACTGGGGGCTTGCAGGCCAGAGACAAACATGACGCAGGAGCCAAGCAGCCTGAGCCACAGGCTCGAGGGGCATCCTGGTGAGAACAGAAACGTTCAGGGCAGAAAGGAGGGTCACACGCCCCCTCCCACACTGGGCCCTGGACACCTTACCTGTTAAGCCTCCAGGCAGCCTAGAGAAGCGTGTGCCAAGTCTCCCTTGTCTCAGATGGGCAGTCTGAGGCGTGGGGCTTAGGAACCCACCCAAGGTCCCAGAGACAGCAGGTGAAGGCCTAAGGTTTGCTCAGGCATCCAAGCACTAAGCTGGCATGTCCTGAGGCTGAGGATCAGCTGCCCCGACCCAGCCTGTTGCTAGAACAGGGCAGAATCTCAGCATCAGTGTCCGTGCAAGGTGGCAACCCTGTGCTGCCTGACTGGGCAGCTGGTAACCATGATGACCCAGCAGTCCAGGCCCTGGGAGCCACCTGCCAACGAGGCTGTGACCACGCACCCCCAGGAGGGACCTCATGCACACTGCCATGACCAGTGAGCATGCGACTGCCTCCCCTTGGTGACAGCACCAGAGTCACTGGCTGCCTGTGGGCCTCCGTCAGTCCTGGCAGGGTAAGCCAGGTGCAGGGACCCCCAACTCTCTGGTAGGCCCAGATGTGACTCTACCTCCATCTCACTGTATGTCCGCTTAGACAGCGTCACAGAGCTGAGCATGGCCACATCCCTTGCCCATGACTGGCCCCCAGGGCAGTGAGCAAAGCCAGGGAGGCCAAGGTTCTGCTACGCCAGCTCTGGACTGCGCCAACCCTAGCAGCCCACACTGAGCCCTGGCTGCAGGAGAGAACTGCAGGGTGGCATTGGTCTATGTGACAGCTCAGGGCTGGGGCTACAGCAACTTGTCCAGAGACAGGATTCAAACCCAGGACTCTGAGGCCAAGCTGTCCTTGCTAGGCCATTTGGGGCCTATTGGCAATGAGGCCATGAGTGGGGGCAGCTGAGCCCCAAAGGCCTTCCTGGTCCCCAGTACATCATAAACACCTTAGGAGCACTGGAAGGAGATGGGATGCACTCTTAGTGCATTTGGGCCCCTGGAGAGTGTTCAGGGTGTTTGCTGTTGTGTGTGTGTCATGCAGAAAGATGTCTGTCTCATGTGTTGCCTTTCCACACCCTCCACCTTGGTCTTCTCTCTTGGTTTCCCATCTTCCTCTTCAGACCTCCTTGGACCCTCTCCAGGTGTCCATGGATTCCTGGGTCTCCAGGGTCCCCCCTGTCCCTAAGCAGTCTCCCTGCATTGGCCAGGCAGTGCCTGCTACAAATGCTGTTCCCGGGTTCTTATCCCAATCTAATCCTCGGAAGGGGTTTGCTCTTGAACAAGCTCTGCAGGGGCTAGACCTGAGACCAGCAGAACAGGGCTGGGGCACTCCCACATGAGTGGCAGGGTCTGAAACTGGCACCTCCTTATTCTGTAAGGCCCCCTCTTACTTACCTGTCTCCCTCACTTTTGGGGGGTGTTCCGGGTGTGGGTATCTGTAGGAGCCCTGCTCCCCAGTTCTATTGGGGTCTCTCTTCTACTGGAAAGTGAGCAATCAGAGCCTGACTTTGGGACAGGTGTGGTGTGTGATATTTTACCAGCTGTTCTGCAGACCCCAATCCAGGCAAAAGCCCTCAGCTGTGGGACTGAAATTCCCTAGAGGCGAGGGAGGGGTAAGGCGCAGCTGGCACTGGAAGGGATTTTCGGGGGCATGGGTCCCACGAGGGTATTCGCAGGGCGGGAGGGACGAGGGCGCTCCCCACCGGCTGGGGAGCGTAGCGTGCAAGGGAGGGTGGCTAGGAAACCGCGCGAAACATCTCCTGGGTCCTCGGCCCCGCCCCCATCTTTGGCCTCCACTGAGGAGGGGGCCCCGGGGTCGAAGTGGGTCGCCAGGGGACTGGCAGGCGGGACCGCAGGTGGCGGGCTCCCGTGCCCCAGCCGGAGGTGCGGCGCTGCTCCCCTCCCCCGCGCACCGCAGTGCGGACCCCGCCACCGCGCCCCAGGCTGCGCGCTCCGATGGCAGGGCGCGAGCTGGCAGCTGGAGAAACACTGCCCCGCGACCCGCTCCTCCGACATATTAGACCTCAGTGTCCCCAGGGCCGAGGGCGCTTCTTTGCTACCTTTCCGTTGACCCAGCCTCTGAGGCTCCCGGCGCGATCCCTGTGCCCGAGGGGGCGGACTGTCTGCCCGCCAGGGTGTGTGTGGGGCTGAGCCCAGACCGCAGCCCGACGGCACCGGGCGCGAGCCTGTGGCACTCACCGTGGGCCAGGGCGCAGGGCCGCGGGGGCTCCTGCGGACACTGCTCTCGTACGGGCTGGGGACGGCGAGGCACAGCGACCGCTCACAGCCGTGAGCGCCGGAGACTGAGCACTGCGGTGCGGACGCGCAGCGCGGGCGGGGGGCGCGGGCGGGGGCGGGGCCTGACCAGGCGCCCAGCTTGCTGCTCCAGGCCCGCCCCTCCCGCCCCCGCGCCTGGGGGCCGAGCTGTGGTCCCTGTGTCTCTAGGCCTGCTTGGGAGACCTACCCAGGGTGCGGGGCTGTCAATCAACCCACAGGTGGATGAGGAGAAGAAGCCGGCTCCGTGCTGTGTCTGGACACCCGCTTGGCTGCCCTCGCCCAGGTGGTTGGCAGCATAAAGGGGGACTGTCCGCAGGGTCTCCTCCCTGGGCCCCAGGAAAGCCAGAGTCGCAGAAACCCAACTGACGCACCAGGAGCAGCACAGACTTTTCTGGAAGGGCTGCATGGCCATCTCCAGAAGCACACTCCCAGCCCAGTGCTGCCCTACCCACACACACCCAAGCCCAGGCCTGTAGTGGACTTGGGTCTAGGGACCTCGCCACTGCGGGCCGGACCGCTCTTTCTCAGAGGTATAGTCCACTCTGCCGAAGGGGTCTCTGCAGGCAATAAACCTGGTTGCTGTGCCGGTGGGAGATCCAGGTTGAAGGCCTTGGTGATCAGGGCCTGCTGGACCCTGCTGTGCTCTTCCCTGCCCAGCCTCCTGGTCCCTCTCTGGGCAGGGTTTCCCACTCAGCCTCCAGACAGACAGCTGTTCTCAAACCTGAGCACACCACACATGATCCCTGGAGGGCTCCTTCCATTGCTGGACCAGCCCAGGACTTCTGGCTCACTGCTGGGGAAGAGGGTCTGCAGGTCTGACAAGTTCCCTCATGCTGTGGGTCCAGGAGTCACGCTGGGGAGCTGCCCAGAGGGGCTTGGACTTGGAGTGGCACAGGAGGCCTGTGGGACCTAGCCCTGAGCTTGGCAGGATACTGGTAAACTTACTGCTGGGGGTCCAGCTTTTACCAAAGGGCCGGTCCCCAACAGCGGGCCTCCAGCAGGGTGAGGAGCAGGGAGGCAGAGCTGGAGCCTGTGCAGCTCAGGCTTATTGGCAAGGATGGCCCCTCGGAGAAGGCTGGAGTGGCCAAGCTGAGGGAAGGCTGGGACTGGCCTCCAGAATGGACCTTGGGGCAAGTGGTGGACATTTGCAGATAGCTGAGCCTTCCCTGACCTGACTGTCCAATGGTCCTCATAACTGGTCACTGAAGTGGGCTCCTGGGGAGAGGTCAGCCTGGCTACAGTTCCCCAGTCTAGGGAAGATATAGGTGGTTTTGCCCCTTGTCTAGGGACATTGCCATCTATCTAGACTTCTGGATCCCAACTCACATCTGTGCCCAGCCCTCTGTGCCTGTCTGAGGGATGGCAAGGTGATTCTCCTTTAGGGCCCTTAGCCCCAGGCCCTGCCTCCATCCTTACCCAGCCTAGCCAGGCAAATGGGGGATGGCAGGGGAACTCGGAAATGCACCAACTGCTTGGGTCAGGGATGTCAGGTGAACAGGGGAGGGGTCTGAGCCTTGTGCCCCCAGCTGGTCCTCAGCAGGGGAGGGAGTTGGTGTGGGGACACTGACCTCCTTCCCAGGATCTGGAACTGGTGCCCCCACCCCTGCAGTCTTACGTCAGTTTCTGCTAACTTGTTGGAACAAACAGGTCTGGTTGTCATGGTGATCATAATGGCTTTGGGGTGAAGGGATGAGACTGCAGTGGCTGTAAACAGGAAGTTGGGGGGGCACCTACCGACTGCCAGGGAGGGGGCCTAGCAGGGCCACTGCAGGGGCTCTAGCCCTTCAGACTAACCTTTCTGCAGGGCTAGGTGGACCCTTGGAGACCTCATTCTTCTACAGGTAGGGAAACTGAGGTCCAGACATAGGAAGGGGTTTCTCTGAGGCCACAACAATAGGCGGGGTCCCAAACTCAGGGCTGGGTCTCAGTTCCCCCAGGATAAGATAAATCCCCAGACCAGGAGTAGTATTGTGCATCAGTAACACCACCAACTCGGAGGCTGAGGCAAATGGATCAAAAATCCAAAGGAGCTGGGTGCGGTGGCACACTCCTGTAATCCCAGTGGCTTGGGAGGCTGAGACAGGAGGATCACAAGTTCAAAGCCAGCCTCAGCAATTTAGTGAGGCACTAAGCAACTCAGTGAGACCCTGCCTCTAAATAAAATTCAAAATAGGGCTGGGGATATGGCTCAGTAGTTGAGTGCCTCTGAGTTCAATCCCTGGTACCTCCCCAAAAAATGTCCAAAGGAATTGCTGGGTGCGATGGTGCATACCTGTAATCCCAGCGACTCTAGAGGCTGAGGCAGAAGGATTTCAAATTCAAACCTGCCTCAGCAACTTAGCTAGACCCTGTCTCTAATACAAAAAAGGGCTGCAAATGCAGTTCAGTAGTTGAGCTCCCCTGGGTTCAATCCCTTGCACCAAAAAATAAATAAATAAATAAATTCTGGAGGCCCTAAGCAATTTAGTGAGAACCTGTCTCAAAATAAAAAAAAATTTTAAAAAGAGGCAAAAGGGCTAGGGATGTACTCAGTGGTAGAGTGTCCCAGGGTTCAATCCCCAGTATGTAAAAACAAGTGATAATCATCACCCCCAGGGTTCTTCCCTCCACAGATTAGTTTAGTAGGGTGTTGAATGGATGAGTGACATCCCATTCAGTGACCTATTCCTTCATTCTACCCTGATGGGGTCTGAGACCAGGTCAGATGGACCTGAGTCAGAGGCCTGGCCCTGATACTCCTACTCCAGTACCTTCTCCACTGCCTGGTGCCTCTATTACCCTTGTCTGTAAAAAGAGTTAACAGCTACACCCCTGAGGCTACTGGGGGATCTTGGTAGGCCTGTGTCTCCTGGAGTCTCCTCCCCCCCAGCAGGTGGGATAGGAACTGCAGAGTCCCACTCAGTTCCCAACTCTGTGGTTGGGGGTGGAAGCTCATCCTTGTGTTGTCTGGTGGCTGAGAAAGAGGACAGGAAGGCAAGTCCCCACTCTCCTTGTGCCTGGCCCCAGACCCTGCTCTCCTGCTCTCAGACCAGTGCCTACAGCTGCTGTGCTCTGAGGTGAGGGGCAGAGAGAGGCCATGCAGGTGCAGGACCGTCTCCATGCAGCTGTGTTGGGTCAAGGGGCACACCCTGCCTAGATGCCATTACTGCCCCAGGAATCCTCGCAAAAGCCGAGCTTTGCTCCTGCAGACCACTTACAAGCCTGGCTGTGTGCACGCTCAGGGTCTCAGGCTGGAAAGGCTGAGGCAGTGTGAGAAAAACACCAGGCTCAGGAAGGCCTGCCTGCTCCCTGGCTGCTGAAGGGTACCCATGAGGGCTTCTGAGAAGTCCAAGTGACCTGCTAATTATCACAGGGCCACCCTCTGGTGGCATCCCTTGGAATTACAGGCACAGCTCCGAGAGTTAAAGCTTCTTCACTGTCCCCTTCCTTCAGGGTCAGAGGCAGGGAAAGTGGGGCACCAAGAACCTTGGGTTATAGACAAAGGTCTCTAGCCAGGACCCTAGCTGTTGTGGGGCTGGAGGATCCTGAATATTGCAGAAAAGAGGTGGCTGGGTGGTGGTCTGGCCCAGTCCCGGCCTTTTGCCCAAGGTGCTATCTCCTGGGCTGGGGGGTCACCGGGGTCCATATCAGAAGCTCAGTGGGCATTCTCAGGCCTTGGTATCATGGTGGGTCTGCAGTTTGTGAGGAGCCCTGGGTGGGGGAAGAGAAGCAGACCAGCACAGGACTCTGTCAACTGAAAAACAAAGGATGTTTCTGGACAGAGTGCCTGTGAGGCCCTGCAGCAGAGGGCCTGTGGAGCATGAGATCCTGGTGCCTGCTTGCAAGCAGTGCTGCTTCCCAGGAAGAGCTCATTCCTGCATGCAGCTCTTTATTGGGACCCAAAGGGGCAGAGGATGAGGAGACAGGAGACAGAGCTGAACATGGCACCTGTGCACTGGGCTCCTCCATGCCCATCATCCTATGCAGAACATGGGCTGCGGGAGCCTTTATCCTGCCCAAAGGGAGGACCCTTTTAAGGGCGTGGAAGCCTGTCTTTCTTCAGAGGGGGCATCCTGAAGGAAGGACATAGATGGCTTGGCCTGGAAGGGCAAGGCCCAGTGAGATAAGCCTATCCCACGCATCCAGGAGTCTTGTTTGTCTCTTCCCCACAAGAGCTCGGATATGGCAGCCTCTGGACAAACAACCTTTGGGTCAGGCCAGCGGACAGGCAGAATGGGTAGGGCCATTGGCTCCAGCCCTTTCCCATCAATGGTCCAAAGCCAGGGTTACCACCATGGCCTGGTGGCTTCCTCAGAGGGGTCAGCAGTATCTGGAGGCCTCCAGAGGAGTTCCTTGCCCTGTGGAAGTCCCTAGACCGCCCAGTGTCAGGGGCAAGCTGAGGACCAGCTGCAGGGAACAGGTCCTCAAATCCAGAGCTTCTCAGGCCCCTCCCTGCTGTGGCTGGCTCAGACTGGTTCCAGCAAGTCCAAGTCAGTGCTGGGCCCTCCAACCTGGCAGCTTGTTGCCATGGAGACCCCTGGGCTGGAGGCCTGCTGTCAGCAGCTCAGAGGCTGCAGAGGGAGCCCAGGTGGCCTGGGGCTATGTCTATGGGGACAGGCATGATAACTGGACCAAGGCTTCGCAGCCCAAGAAGCCAAAGGGGACCATAGCAGGCCCTACCTAAGTCCTGGGCAGCAGCCATGTGCTGTCGTCAGGGTCTCTGTGCCTCCCATAGCCTGGCTGACCCCAAGTCCCACAGGCTAGAGATGGAGGTCCAAACAGGATGCCAAGGCCCAAGCACAGGCCCACATTCCTGTCCTGCCTACGGTCAGTTTCCCCTGGGAGGTGCCCTGGGGCCAGCTCTATCTGCACTCACACAATGGCCTGCCTGCAGAAATCCCTCCTGGCACGGCCAGTCCTGGACACACCAGAGTCCAGGAGCCCTGTCATGGTCTGAACTGAGAGCTCTCCCCTGCACACCTGGGAACCTATAAAGCTTGTTGTCCCCTCTCCGAGACCCACTCCAGGCAGCAGGGGAACAGCTCAAAATTCTAGGTCTCAGGGCCCAGAACAGTGTGGAGAGACATGGGGACACAGGGCATCCACCTTGGCTTGAGTGACATCACTGGCTGCTGAGGTCTGATTCTGGGGGCTGGAGGCCGTTGGGGGCCCTGCTGGGCAGGGTGAAAGATCAGAACAGGGCCCTGAAGAGGAGGGGAGTCTCTGCCTAAGAGGCTTTAAAGCCCAAGGGGATGGGTCAGGGCAGGAAAGGACAATCAGAGGGCCACAGTTTGTGGAAATGCTTTAATTTGAAGATTCTTGGATACAGTGGTTAGTCTGTTGCCCACGATTCCTTACTAGCATGGGCCTCATGCTGGGAACACCCTCCTCCCTCAGGTGAACACAGTTATCACATTGCATGTTCTCATGTTACGCGTCACATCTTTGTTAAGCCAAGGACCGTGGTACAGAAGGAACATTTCATAGCCGAAGTCACTACAATTTGCCAGAAACATCAGTTACTTTAGAATACTATAAAATATATTGAATTTCCATATATTAACCATATACATGTGTAACTATAACTAAATGTAGTCAGTTGTTACAAAATGACATTCCAGGAGCAGGCTACAAATGAGGGAGCGGAATTCCCCTGGCAAGGCCCTCTGTCTCATTAACTGCCAACCTGAGGATTCCAATTCCAGGGCCCACTCCTTTCACCTGTTCCTTAGGTTCTGGGGGTCCCCCAATGCACTGGCCCTGCCTTCTTCGTGGATGCACTTGGTCTTCCAGGTGGGAGAGCAGAGTGGCTGCAGGCCTCAGCCAGATCTCAGAGCAGGACAATGGGCCATTTCTGCCTGCTGCATCTCCCTGTCCTGAGGGTCTTGCCTGCCTAGCCCTGCCAGGCAGCTCAAGGTTATGGTTGGGGAGCAGCTCCTCCTCACCACCGGTGGCTCCAGTTCCTGTAGGATCAGTGGACAGTCGTGTCTCAGGGCTTCCTGTGACAAGACACACCCAGGCCAAGGGCCCTTCAGGCTGCCAGGCTAGACGCAAGCTGGGGCACAGGAGGGCCATGGCTTGAGGCTGCCTCCTGGGGGGCCACAGCAGTCACAATCAGTTGGGGAGGGCAGATGCTGATCGCAGCTGGACTGAGCCACTGTGTCCTCCTTGGCGGCTGCAGCTGCACAGGCACCAGCTTTGGGTGGGAACACTTTACAAGGGTCTGGACACGACTCCGACTTCACCAGGTCTGCACTCCAGGGCCCAAAGATCCAGGGACAGGAGGATAGAACCTTGGACAGACCCCACATAGTCCTATCCAAACAACAGGACAAGATAGTGCCAGGGACCTGGTGCACCCACAGCAGGGGCCTGAGCAAGGGCACAGCCACTGGCTGGGGAGGCTGGGCACACCAGGTGCTCTCTCCCTGTAATGATGATAGTGCAACAGAGCCTTTATATAAACAGTTTATTTACTCTAAACAGCAACACAGACAAACGCCATATAAACACAAAGGAAGAGGTGCGGGTCGAGACGCTGCTGACTTTGGATCGGAGGCGCATTAGCAACAGCCAGGTTCTGAGAGAAGGGTGTGGGAGGGAAGGACAGGGACTTCCACACAGCCCGCTGGAGGCCGGGACAGCTCTGAACGGTGAAGCATGCCTGCATCCGAGCAAAGGAACTAGCTCCTAGGGGCTTACCCAAGTATAAAAGTTTATAATTTTACAGCAGTTGAAATACTGACATCAATATTAAAATAAAAGCAAGTTTTACATAACAATCAAAAATACAAAAGACTGAAGGAAGAGACCCTGTATGAAAAACTGGGGCAATTCAGCGAATTGAGAACTGTATGCCAGTGGCGGAAATGGAAGATGGCGCCCGCCCAACCCTCCCAGGCGACCGGTAACTGCACGAGCGACTTGAGATTTGCAAAAGGTGTAAACAAGTTCTTGCCAAACCAATCCCTTCCTTTTGCGGTGCCACAGGGTCGCTGTCTATGAGGGTGCAAACTTCTTGGCTTGTGCTCGAACCCTTTTCTCATATTCCACTCTGTTTTGGCTGAGGAGGTCAAAAGAGAAGAGATAAGTTAGAAGGCAACAGTGTGGCCCACCTCCCAGGCTGGAGGGCCACTCAGGCTGCCTGGAGAAGCCAGCACTCACCAAGCCACTGCAGGGCAGCAGTGGGGTGCAGCCTTGTGGCAGAAGGCGGGAAGGCTGCAGAGGCAGGGGAGCTGGGTGGGGAACCCACACTAGCTCCTGGATGGAGGGTGGGAGCAGGGAAGGAGGCCATCAAAAAGGGAGAAGCAGCAACCTCCATGTGGAGACTCCACAGCCAACCGGACCTCCATGCAGTAGGCAGAGAGGCCCCACAGGCAATGAGGGCTGAAGGACAGGGGGGGGGGGGGGGGGGGGCAGGTGGCCTTCAACATAGTAATGTGTACCAAATTCAGTTTTCTCTTCCTTTTCTGAAGAGTGCAGTAGTTGTTCACAAGTGCAACCCCATTACTGACCAGCATGGGCAGCCTGGTGGTCCCCCACATTGATGCTGAGCTTACTATGTACACCAGATGAGCACACTGCATATAGCCTTGAACTCCAGGCCCAAGTGATCCTCCCACCTCGGCCTCCCAAGCAGCAGAGATTATAGTTCCACTGTACCTTAATCAGATGTTTGCAATTATTAGATAGCATTAAAAATTGTGGTCAAGAGACTGCTAAGCACTAGTTTTTGCTCCTCATTTCTAAAACCAGACACAAGCTTCTGGTGGGCTTTCCATGTAGCTCTCGGCTCAGACAAAGGTGCAGGAGGCAGCCTTGTGCAGAGTGCTGGAGCAGCCCAGGACACGGGCCAGCCTGCATGACCCACTTGGGCAAAACTGGCTGGCCAGGCAGGCAACCCCACATCAGGAAGTAGTGTGACCCTGGCGACATTTGTGAAGCTAGACTCCTAGGAACAGGGATCTTAGCAACCTCATAACACTGGGGGCTGATCTGAGACCCCATGCCACGCCAGCTGTGTCTAAGTGAGTGAGCTTCCAGGGTGCTCCCCAAGAAACAGGTCTGGAGCTCTTCCCAGCCCTGCTCTCGGCCTGAGCCAGGCCCCAGCCTGCACGCAGCTCAGGCCCAAGGCTTTGCAGACATCCCCAGGGTTGATGACAGGCTCTGGCGGCAGGGCCAACCAGAAAGGCCCAATGCCCAGCACCAGAGCAAGCAAGGGCAGAAAATGACGATGTGCATGCCAGTCCTGGGTGTGGGATGGGGAACAGTTCAATAGGAAGGTGATGGGCCCAGGGCAGCAGCCCAGCAGCGCAGGACCCACCAGGCGCCCTCACCTGCTCTGCTGTTCACCAAGCGAGGCTGGGTGATGAGGCCCCTGCCCAGCAAGCCAGCCTGCTGGAACCTGGGAAGGGACCTGAAACTTTCAGGACATTTCGCCAAAGGTGCTTTTGGGGTGGACGTTGTCACAGAGACCTTGCTCAGGTGAGAGAAAGTACACACAGCAAGCCAGCAGCACGAGCCCCAGGGACACAGGACATGGGGCCACACAGCATAGCCGCAGGCCTCCACGGAGGGGACACACAGCGCACCCACAACAGGCACGCACCCTCCACCAGCAAGAGGCCAGCCACAGCCAGACAGCTGGGCTTGTTGACAGTGGCAGCACAAACAGATGGAGGCCATCCCAGAGGCTCCAGGGCACTGCCTGGAGGCCACCAGGGAGGGAGACACATAGCACCTGGCCATACACCCAGGGAGAAGCACATTTCTCAAGAACCAGCACCTTCCCCTCCTGACCAGCTCCAATTCAGGAAATGCCCTTGGAAGGAACAGACTACTAGTGATAGGGGTTAGAGCCCCTCTGGGTCCCAGGCAAGAGGGACACAGGGGGATGCTGCTCTCAGAAAGCCCTCCACTCCATTCCTCTTGGTGAGGGTGCCCATGCTAGACCAGCTGGGGGTCTGAGAGCTGTGGACAGAGCTGTCAGGGGCCAGGGTCTTTCTTGCTGGCGGACCCAATCACACCAGGCCCTGATCCCTCAGCAGACAAGGCAGGACCCAGGGACCCCATCATGACAGCACCACAGGAAAACGTGGTAGAGGCCAGGACTGTGCGAGGCTGTCACTGAGCAGCTCCCCTGTGCTGGGAGACACTGTCTCACAGGCCCACAGGAGCTCATGCCACCCCACTCTAGCGCATGCCTCCAGGCCGAGCAGTGCCTGGCCCCACCAGCCCTGGCTGTTGTGCTCCCTCCCGATGGCCCCTGCACATGCAGCTCAGCCATCAACAGGGCTGGCAACGGACACATGCCACACCCTGCACGTAGCCCTAGCCACCCGAGTGGCCATCCCATCCTCCCCTCTGTGGCACCACCCTGGCTGCCGGCAGCACCCGGCTCTCCTTCCGACAGACGGCCTGGACTTGCACTTCAGGGAAGGCCTGCAGGCAGCAGGCCAGTTACTACTAACCAGTAAATCGTGTAGGCCTCTGCTTGAGCGGGGTCTTGGATATTTGGTTCATTTAGAAGTTCCTGTATTCCTAATAAGATCTGTGCGAGACAAAAACAAGAGGGCACAGTGCGTTCAGTGGCTAGACAGGTGGTCTCTGCCAGGATGAGCCCAACAGGCCCGGCCAGCCCACATACCTGCTTGATCGTGATGGCTGGCCTCCAGTCCTTGTCCTCCTCCAGAATGGACAGACACACAGTACCAGAAGGGTACACATTTGGGTGAAACAGCGGTGGCTCAAATTTACCTGGATGAGGGGGAAGGAAGGAAATCACTGTTGAGAGGCAACTCTTAGCTTCCCCACCGCCCTCCTCCCCGGTGCTGGGCCCTTCAGGGAGAGAAGCGAGGCCAGGAGAGGACGGGAGTGCAGCACACATTTCCTTCTCAGAAACAGGGCCTGAAGAATGTGACATCTCTCCCAGGGCAGGAACTCCAGGGACAGCAGACAGCCAGGAGCGGGCCAGGCCAGCTCAGCCCAGGGCCCTCTCCAGAGAGGACTTGGGAAGGTGTGGAGTAAAGAGGCGCAGTAGCAGGCGAGGGCAGACAGCTGGAGCTCTCCCCATTTTCTTCAACCCCACCCCCACCACCCCCAAAATAGGGAAGAGGAAAGTCTGCTGGTTGCGGTGCTCCAGGGCGTCTCATCTTTCCTCTGGGCAACCTGCATTTTATGATTTGACCATACCCAGAGTGCAAGTGCAGCCTGGTCAGTCGCTGGAGAGGAGCAACCGACCAGCACCCAGGAACTCAAGCGGGTACCCTCCCAATGCTGCTCTCCAGCCAGGCCGCTCCTGCCTGCAGGTGGCTTCCTGGGCCTTCTGCCTTCAGCCACAGTGCACGTGAGCAGGTGGGGCCGTGGAGGCGGTAGGCTGCAGAGAAGGAGGTTTGTGCTGCTCCACTGAGTAAGGCTGCTGTGCTGGACGTGAACTCTGGTGTGCGCAGGCACAGGGCCAGGGCAGCACCAACAGGAGTTGCCAATACCAGGCCTCTGGGTGCCCCTTCGCCTCTCCCCTGAGCTGCAGAGGCAGAGCCCCTTTCTTGGGTCGCCATTCGCTGGCTGCTCCTGAGTTCTTGTTCTACCTCCCACTGCTTGGCAGGACCTCCTCACACACTCTGGACACAGACCTTCCTCACCCCTATAATGTACCTTATTGCAAACTAAATGCCTAATTTTAATTTAATCTGATTTACCAACCTTGTTACTTCTATCAACAACTTGCATGGAGAAAGAATGCACACCACGAATACCAGCCCCCTGCCCCTGGTTGGCTTCCCTCCAAACTCAGCAATTGTCCTCCTGACTTTTAACTCACAAGGAGCAGGGCCTGTTGTTGAATCCTACAGAGAGGACATAGCCCTGTGTGCAAGGTTAATAGCCCCTCCATGCCGCTACCAATGCACACCTGGCCCATCTCCAGCTCTGGTTATTACAGATGGGGCTGCCTGGGTCTCCTGAGGCCTCCCTCTGTGAACACACACGCTCCTGGGTATCCTCCAACATGGAGCTATCCAGGTTTAGCTCCAATGGTCGTGGCAGACAGACTTCCAAAGAGAAGCTCTCAAACAAGCATGTGAGGTATCTTACTGCCCAGCACCTTGCCGCATCTGCCCTTCTCTGTAAGACAGCAACATCCAACCAAGATGCCGCCTCTCCCCTCCGGTGATGAGCAGCTGGATTTCCCTGTGTGGACTGGCCAACTAGACAGCTCTTCTGTGAAGGGCCTGCTCCACCTCGTGGTGGTTTGCCTTCTTTGTGACCTGTAGAGTTCTCTTTTCTTTCTCACAGGACCTTGCAGCAATGGGGATGGAACCCAGGGCCACAACCATGCTAGGCAAGCTCTACCAAGCTGCCCTGTCCCATCTTCTCTGGGGTTTGCTCCTCTCCCTGTATCTCCTGATGAAGAGTCTTCAGGCCAGTCCAGCTGGCTGATCCCCAAGGGCCAGTGTTCTGTGCTTTCCTGGGTGCTCTTGCTGATCCCTGATCAGAAGACGGCCTCTGTGCCTCTTTGCGTCCCCTTCTGCTGGTGCTGTGAAGCAGGCAGGGTCATCCACAAAGAAGGAGACAGCTCTCTTATCCATTGGTCATCCCTGAGGCCAGACTCACTACACCTAAAACACACTACACGGCCTTTCTGGTCCACCCACTCTTCTGTGGGTCTGCCTGCCTGTCCTCACACCTGTCCCAATGTAGACTTCCATGCCCTGAGGCAAGTCTCAGTATCTGATGAATGGCATCTGGCCCATCCATTGACAGGTCTGGGCACCCTCTGCCCTGAGAGCCTCAACCTGGGTCTCATGACATCCCCAGGACTGCATGGGCCCTGACCATTCCTGCCCTCTGCATTTCCATATGCACTTTGAGCCTGCTGGACTCTGGGGACTGCATGACATGTGCAGAGCAGCCAGGGATGCGGTTGCATTCCCAGAGCTGAGCCCTCTGGGCCACACAGCAGAGCCTGCTGACTGTCTAGCTGTCCTTTGCTTCTTCCAGAAAGGCCTTGGTTTCCAGCTAGAGACCTCACCACACCTGGTGGGATTCACTTCAAGGCATCAGATGCTATTGCAGATGGCTTAGTTTTACACGTTCATGAGCTGCAATTCTATGGAAATAGGTTTCAGCAGGTTAATTGTTTGGCAGCAACCCTCCCAAGCAGCTGGTGACCTGGACGCTTCTTCCCAGGTCTCCTAGGGGGCTTTTCCCACTTTGATGCATTTGCTTGGATTTTGCAGCAGGGTATCAAACGAAATGGCTATGTCTGTCTCATTTGGGGGTATTTTCCCCTCTTAATTAAAAGAAATCATTACAAAGTAACTGTGCCCAACAAAAGGAATCCAAATGGCTGAAGACAACCTAAAACAAAGTTAAGTCTCCACTTTGTGTTCTGTCAATAGTTAATTTTGAAGCTTTCCTGTGGGGCTATGAGAACGCAGAAGACTTCTCTCAGCAAAGTTCACACCCAGAGCTTCCCCTCTGGGCCAGCGCTCTTCCCAGCACCCACTGGCCATGCTATATGTGGGTATCTAGCCACAGGAGCAGGACTGATGACCCCTCCCCGCCCAGGTCTTGCCTAACTGCATCCAGATAATTTTCCAGTGGCCACCATTTTAAACTCAGCTCAGGCTTCTCTGAGCAGCAGTTTGAGTGCTCTGTCACCCAGGCTGCAGACAGCCACAGGAACCCTAACAGACAATAGCTGGGTGGCAGCAGACTGGGTTAGGGTGCAATTCTGAGCCCTAATCTTGTTGTATGCCTGTCCCCACCAGGGCTGGAGTGCCTGTGGGCACAAAGTGAAGATCTCAAAGCTGACAGCCATGGAGGGTGCAGGCAGTCCGGGCCTGGGAGCTTCCCCACTGATCAGCTGGGATCAGAGACTAAGCCGATCATATGCACTTTCCACCCCAGGACTGGACAGACTCAAATCAACAACCTGCACAGGAGACTTAGGCTGACTCGACCAGAGCTGCTTTGATCTCCCACACTGCACCACAGCACTGGGGCGGGGTGGCAGCCACCATGGCTCGGGCAGCCCAAGACTCTGAAGACGACCACAGGTCTCTGTAGGAACTCACATTTCGGTGGCGAGGATGGATAATCATCTTTGAAGAGCATCCGAAGCTTGAACAAGCCTCCTTCCCACGGAGTCTGTTGGGAAGTGATCGTGATTAGGTGAGCCGCTTGTGTGCAGCAGGCAGACCCAGGAGGGCTGGTTTCCTCATCTCACCAGCTCCCGGGGGCCAGAGACCCAACACCCTCAGTGGCATTGTGGAGACTTGCTCTGAACCCGTGGGAGAGCTGGAAAGGAGCAAGGGCAGCAGCTGGGCTCTACAGAAGGCAGGGGCCCTCAGAGAAGTCAGGATCCACAGCTCATGGGCTGCTCCAGGGCATCAAAGAGCTCAGGTACTGCAGGACATGTGCAGAGCAGCTGGGGGCATGGCTGTATTCCCAGTGTTGAGCCCTGAGAATCTGGGCCCAGCAGCTTGCATCCCCAACCTCAGATTCTTCAAGCCACCTGCCTTACATCTGGCCTGGACAGGGACTAGTAGTGCTGACCCACAGCCAGAAACCCCGCCCAACCTGGAATCATGGGGAGCACCAGGGTATACCTCCTACCCCAACGCAACGGGCAAGGGACATTCTCAACAAAGGCTGGGGATTCCACCTGTACCACTCAAGAGAGCCACACACAAATGGACCAAACACATCTCTGTTCAGGAAAACAAAGTCCTACTAGAGATGGCTTTGCTCAACTCAAGGGGACGAAATCTGGGTGGTAAGCACCCCCAACCCCGGCACAGTCCAAGTACCTCAGGGGTTCACAAGTGCTGTGTGTGTGGATGGCCATTAGAGTCATGGGAGGCCCTCACACCCAGATCTCCATCTGACACACAATGAGGACAGACAACGAGCTCAGGGACACCCAGGTGAGCTGAGGCCACCACCCAAGTTCTGCATGCGAGGGAACACTCCAGGAGTGCATGCATGAGATGGGCTCATCCTGCCCTTGGGGTCCCATGTACCTCACCACATCCTGAGGGATGGGCCAGAGCCCAGTGCTCAGCCAGCTCCCAGAAGCTCCTCACCATGGGCCCGGGCCTGGCCCCCGGGCCTGCCCTCCAACATGATGCCCTAGGAGGTTCTTTGTGCTCCCCACAACCCAATGGGTCTGACCATTCCCCACAGCTATGCCCACTCCAAACCTAGCCAGTGGCTACTTCCTTCTGATCTCATGTCCCCTCTCTGGACTGAGGACAGGCCAGAGCTGTGGATATGACTGGCAGGCCCACAATGCTGAGGGCTGTGGGCCCTCACAGAGGGTGAACACCTAAACCTGAGTCCCTTCTGGTAGTTCTTCTCCTGCTAAAAACCAGGACCAAGTCCTCAAGCAGCTCTTACCCCCTTCTTTCCTGGGATAGCACATTCCCAGTTCATCAGGTTCATCGTGCCGTCTGGGTTCTTAGTTGGGACAGCCACAAAGCCCTGAGAGAAAACAGCCACAGAACCAGGTCAGCACCATGGGCCCTTCTCATAAGCACAAAAGACCAACTGCAAAACCCCACCCAGTGGCCACAAGCAGGCCACAAGACCACATGCAGGGACCTCAGGGCAATGAGGACCATGCCCTGGGCAGCAGAGAAACAGAGTCCTTACAAAAGGATGGTCCTTCCTCCAAGCTTTTCTCTCCTGGGCGAGTCTGCTGAGGGCGATCCCCGACATGTTCAAAGTCCCTGCAATAGACGAGACACACCACAGTGTTAGCAAAAGCAAACCTCAGGTCCTCTACACCTCCCAGCACACTGGCCAGAGTCGGCAAGCCATGTCCAAGGAACAACTGACCAAGGCTCTGACCCAGTCCAGCAGGATGTCTCCTCTGCAAGCTACCCCCAATGTATTCAGCATCACACTCTCCACATTCACCAGGACGCTACTAGGTGGGCAAGTGGGGCAATATTGCTGTGCCCCTTCCCCAGGGCACTGTTGGAAAGAGACGGAGGTCTAAGGCCATAGCTGTGCTCTGCCCACAGGACACACACTCCCCAGCAGACACAGAGCACACCTGTCCTGCCTTCTGTCCCCCATTCCACTTTGGGACTCCCAGGAAAACGGTAAGGTTGGCAGGGATACCCACAGCATCACCTGAAGACTCATGGTACAGAGATGGGGCCCTCTCCTCATGATGCACTAGATGTGGGGGGCTGCTGGGACCCCAGCTTAGCTCAGACCTGGCCAAGAGGACAAGCCATTTCAGCATGCCAGTCTACCTGCCCTCCTGCAGCCTTGCCTGCCAAAAGTGTGCTGACTACCTGTCTGGAAGTCTGCCCCAGGACCCTGTGCAACAGATGGTCCCAAGGGAGGGCTTGCCTGCACTGCTCAGCGTCTGTCCTGCAGCACACCAGGACACACAGGGCCTCCAAGGCCCTGACCCCACCTGGCTGCCACCTGCTTCCTCTACCACGCAAGTCAGGACTCAGCTACTGCCAAGCTTGCCAGAACACTGGAACCTAAGGTCTTCAAAGCCATTGGGAGCCCAACACTCCAAACACATACCAAAGCATTAAGCGATGCTCTCACAAGACCAGAGCATTTCCCTGAAGTGGCCCACACTGAGGGTCATGGGGTGGGGTGGGGTGGAGAGCAGCCTCCCCTGTCCTAGAGAGAAAAGGCCCACACTGAGATGAACCTTGGCCCTTAGCAACCCACGCATGGGATTGTGCTGGGCTGAAAACACGCATCTCCCTCTAGGCCAACCCCAAAGTTCCCTTGTGGCTGGGCCAGGCTTCAACATAGCTGTGAAGCACTGAGAAAGGACATACAGACCCCTGCCCAAGGCACAGTCTCAACTCAAACCAGCCTGATTTGTGGTAGGAGCTTCCCACTGCAGCCTCTGGCTGGCCCCCACCTTCCACTCTCCTCCTCTGATGCCCTCAACTCAGGCCACCCACTTTGCCCACAAGGCCACAAATATCTTAGCAATCAAACCCTTTGCCCAGCACAACCCCAGGCAGCCTCCCACCTCCCCAAATCACTCACACTGCCACAAACCCCACTGGCTGGTCCAGCAACATAACCAGGAGTCCCTCGCTACCCTTGGAGCACAGCTGTTCTTAATGTGGCCCCACAAGCAGTACCACCTGGAAAGCAAGCCCACTGAGCTCTGGGTGGAGTTCTGCATTGGGGTCTTAGGTGGCATTGGGAGAGGGCTGATGAAGATTTTAAACCCAAGGGTATTTCACCACTGAGCCACATCCACATCCCTTTTTAAAAATTTTACTTTAAGACAAGGTTTCCCTAAGTTGCCTAAGCTGGCCTTGAACTTAGAATCCTCCTGCGTCAGCCTCCAGAGTTGCTGGGATCACAGGTGTGCATCACTGAGCCCAGTTCTTAGATGACTTCTGACACTCTAACCATATAGGCAGAGAAGGGGGGTTGGGAGCCACCAAAGGCCACCAGGTGGCCTTCAGCATCACTCCAAGAGCCCAGGGTTCAGGAAGCTGGTTAGGGTCACCACAAACTACCAACAAGGCACAGGCATTTTTTAGTGGTCATGTGCACTTGGGTCTCATAAGAAAGAAAGGTAGGCCGCTAGGGCAAGAGGAGGCCACAGTAGCCATTGGCTCCAACACCTGAGCCCAGAGCACATAGTTGAAGGCTCCTACCTTTCCTGGCCTCAAGATTAAATCCAAAATAGGCACACCAGGCTCAGACCCAAATCAGAACTGTCCTTCACCACCACAGAGTGCTGGTGTGCCCACTCCTCCCTCCCGAGCAGGACAATACCGTCTGTGAACAACCATGGCTGCTAGGCCTCTGCCATAAAGGCCCCCCACCCCCTCAATGGAACATTTCCCCCTTCAGGACACTCAGGATTGGGGTGGCAGTGGCATTCTTGTAAGCAAAGGGGAGACAGACACAGATGAGGAAGTATGAAGATGGAGAGCACCTGTCAGAGAGCAGGTTGCTGCCTGCTCAGGAGGGCATGAGGGACAGAGGAGGAGCAGAGATGGTGGGAGCAAATCTAGGGTCTGACTGCTGCCAGGACTCCATCACAGGACACCTCTCTGGCTCCCAGGTCAGGACAAAGGTGCCCACAGAGGCACCTATCCCAGTACCCAACTGTGATAGTCGTTGGTGTGAAGACATTGAGGGATGCTCCAATGAGACTGGCTGTGCTTCTTCCCAAGGCCTGGCTGCCTCTTTAATGTCCTCTGCCCCAGAGCACCCTGACATCAGGGGGTGGGCCCATGGGAGTTACTGACCCAAATGAGGCTTGGTTCCCAAGACAGGGCGTTCCATTCCTGCTGGCCTCCTGGTGTCCAGGAGAAAGCACCCAATCTGTCACAGAGCAAATCTGTTCATTCAAACTCCCACTTAAACTCAGACCTGTCTCCCCAAATTAACAGCATCACTTGATGAGCAGCAAATGTTATTAACTATATAGAGCAGGAAAGTTTTCTGAGACAAAGACAAAAATAACCCAGAACTATCAAAGACCAAGCAAGGCACAAAACCCATGCAGTGTGGGGAGATGAGAGCTCTGCCCTCACCTCTCCTGGAGCTCTCACAGTGGACTGCGGGGAATGCAGAGATACTTACAGGCTGAGTAAGGTGCTTACCTCCCCCAGACTCCACCTGCCCGAATGTAACATGGGCTCGTAGTACTATGACATGCACGGAGAAACCTCTGGCGGCGGCTCTCCATCCAGACGCACTTCTGCATGCACCATGCACTCTGCCCTCAGGCCCAGCCACATCAGATCTGTCCCAGGACCCAGGCTATTTCTGGAGCAAGGTTCCAAAACCCGAGAGGAGCCAGACACCCATCACTTCAAACCCCAGAAAGAGGACCTCTATGGAAGCACATCGTAAATTTCGGCTCTATGCCAGTTTCCTGTTGGTTCGCTACAGCACCAATCCTCTAACGTACACAGGAATGACCAACAAAACCCTAAAGACAGGTTCGGCAATCCCCCAGAGGGAGGAACTAAGCTTTGGCTCCAAAGATACAAACCAAGGCAGCTGCTGTAACGCCAGGTGCGCGGGTCGACGCGGCCCACTGACCACGGCCTTACCAGAGTCCCGCTCACCCAACTACCCGTGTCCACCTCCGTCCAGCAGCCTCGCGGATACTAAGGGGGATGCCGGGAAACTACAGCTCGTCTGATGTCGGGACGTCGGGTCAGAGAACACCCCGTGGACCGCGACGCAAACCCGGGTGGCCCAGAACCGCGGGGCGGGCGGGAAGGAGGCCGTGGGCGGGGAGAGGCAGCGGCCCGTGACCCCGGCGGCGGCGGGAGGCCGCGACCTGGGGGAGGGAGGCCGCATCTGGAGGAAGATCGCGGACGAGGAGGCAGGGAGGCCGCGTCGTGAGTTCGCGGACCGAGAGGCAGA